TTTTTATTTTTAAATTATCTTTTATACCCCAAAATAGAGTTTTTCTAAATGAACGTGTTGAAAACAAAATAAATATTTTTATAATCCAACTGAAAATTTTTATAACTTAAATTGAACAAAATTTTAATATATAAAGTTAACCCTTTTTCCTATGTTATTAAATTAATTTTTATAAAAAACACGTTCAATCAAAATTTAAAAATATTCAATTTAATGTTCTTTTTAAAAAAATTAAAATAAATAGTGATGTGGAAATCTACATAGTGTTCAAAAACTTGGTAAAAAAAATCTTCTATATATATGGTTTTTTTTATTTTTTTTTGAATTTGTTTTTTTTATAAATCATTTTGTAAATTTTGTTTAAAAAATAATTTAAATTTTAATATTTAAAGAATAATTTTTTTATCTTTACAAAAAAAGATAATTTTTAGTTTTTTAAATAATTAAATCCTCATAAATCACTATTCATGTTTTTTAAAAAAATATATAAATCACTATTCATTTTTTTTATCTACGTGGAATTTTTTTTAAATCTCATTTGTCACTTAGGTGGTGAATGAATTTTTTAACTCTAAAATAAAAAACAAATCTAATTTTTAATTGGCCATTTTTAATTCTAAAATAAATACAAATCTAATTTTTAATTGGTCGAAATATTACCTTTGCTTATGTGGTGCACCGAATGCTCCTGAAAAATGCCTACTTTATTTAAATACTAATTTTGTGCCCGGGCGATGATCAGATGGTTGATAAAATCTTTAGTTAGAATGTTAAATACGGTCATATAATCCTTTTTGATAATGTAGGATATTTAGACCTACAATATCATATCGCTTATTTATATAGTAGTGTAATTTATTTTAAAAATATATTTAATTTATTATTCAAATAGTGTAAAATATGATATATATGATATTATTGACTTGAAATTATTTTTATTGAACTTCAATTATTTTATTGAACTGAAAGTATTTTTACCAAAATTAAAATTATTTTTACGGATTAAAATTTATTTTTACTAATTTTTTATTAATTTTTAAATAAATTAAATGTATTATAAATGGATCTTATTTTAAAGAACTTCTTAAAACGAATATTAGGATGGAAATAGAATGGATTTATATTATATTTATTAAAACTTTTGATTAATTTTATATATATGAAATATTATACCGATAATAAAACTCTATACAACAATTTTATCTTTAACAAGTTATCCAAAATTCGCTTAGTTATTATCATATGTGTCACGATAAAATCTATTTGTTGCCTACGCGGCTCGACACTTGGCGAAAAATTGGAATGCCAAGTGTTGCTGTCTCGTAGCCTGGCTGGAGACCGGCTATCTAGTTTTGTGCTCGGGTGATGCCCAGATTGATGATAAAATTTTCGGATAAACTTTTTATTTGAATGTGTAATATGGTCATATAATCCCTTTTGATAATATAGGATATTTAGACATACGTATCATATTGCTTATTTATATAATAATGTACTTTTTGTAGCTTTGTTTGTAAATAAATTTCTATGTTATTATGGACCTTGAAATGATTATTATTGAACTTAAATTATTTTTACTGAACTGAAAGTATTTTTATCAAACCAAAATTATTTTTACTAATTAAAACTTATTTGACTGATTCTCTAATATTTTTTTAAATAAATTAAATAACAATAATGTATTTTGTATGCGGCTAACCATACCATCTAGCTGGACAAAGTAACCCCTATATAACTGATCGAATAATCCCGACCCTGTAATACTAACTGAGTAACCTCTAGCATTGACTAAGTAACCTCTATCTATAACATGATTGAATAACCACTATAACACTGACCAAGTAACACTATAGCACTAACGATATTATAATAGTTGGTGACACGGTTTGACCAGTTATGTATAAAAGTTTGTGATTAAATATATTATAAATAGATCTTATTTTAAAGAAATTTTTAAAACGAATTTGATGATGGAAATAGAATTAAGTTATAAAATATTTATTAAAAGTTATGATTATTTTTGTATATTATAACATATTAGAATTTTATCGATAATAAAACTCTATACAACAATTTTATCTTAAAAAATCTATCCAAAAATCGTTTACCTAGCATTATATGTGTCACAATAATACCTGTTTATCTCCTACGTGACATGACACTTGGCGAAAAACTGAAATTCCAAGTGTTGTTGTCTCGTGGCCTGGCCGCGAGACCGATTTTATATATTAGTGATGTGATATATATTAGATTAGATTAGATTGACCGCCAATTTATTTTAACAAATAAGTCTTTTAATAATCTAAATTTATGTTTTTGGTCATTTGTGCTAGTTTCCTACCACTTTCCACCCATCATTACATTATCTACTCCTAAATTTGTAGAACCTAGCTTGACTATTGCTAATAGGCTTTTCTTTGATTGGTGTTATGAGGGATTAATGTTCTATTGCTATCATACCTTTTGGTTGTGATTGTTAGCATTATGGTATATATTAGATCTTCTTATGTCATCCTGGCTCCTTGATAATCGTCATCATTCTTGCTAAAACTAGGATGCATAGTAGTCGTTAAGATGTACCTTTCTCTAGTACCTATATATTGTCATATAAATATTACTTTTGTAAATCTATAGGTACATATTATATCAATTGCAATATTATTTGTTGGTAAGGCCATTGATAATAACAATTAAATATATACTCTTTATTCCTAGAAGTTTGACTCTTTTGACTTTTTTATGATTAGTAATACATTTTTTTTTTAACCATAATATCTTTGAATATTTATAAGTCAAAATTATAATCCGTAAAAGTTTAAATTGCAAAATGTGTCTTACCTATTGACTAGGACCATGAAAGACGATGTGTATGCAGCGGAAATGCTAATATGGTTTTACTTTGTGTATTGGCTTTGCTAAGGGAGATGAAATCCGATACATTGCCACTACCAGAATAAAAGTCTGATGAACATGAGGTCGTCAGATCAAACTTCATTTAAAGGACATTTGGGGTAAGGATTATCATTACCCTTTTCCCTTGCACAATTACTCCACTCCCAAGAAGCCCTTTACCTGTTAAACTAGTTCGAGTTGACTCTAACGGAGAATAGCCCACCCACGAGCTTTTCTTTTGGAGGCCAGGGTTGGAAGGTAAAGTCAAGCTCCAAAGTCCAACTTCAACCAATTATTTTGCAGCTTTAGATAATATAGCAGGGCTAAATGGCTAAATGCTTTGAAAGTTGACACGCAAATTGCAGCATCAAATTTGCACTTACTCTTTGAGAGTTGACTCACTGGAGAGAAATTGACCAAATTGTACACTCTCTTGAAGCTAGTAGGCGAAGAACAAGGGTGGACTAAGATGTACTCCATATAAGCTTTAGGCACTTAATTAACAACCAATATGTAATATAATTTCCCTTTCGGCTTAAACTTCTAATATTTTGATAGCAGCAAACTCCTGCAATTTTCTGGGTGTTTTTTAAGCACCAATATGTTATATAATTTCCCATTTAGCTTGAAAAAAAACTTAATTAACAACCAAAAATGGTAGATTTTATAAAACAGCCAAGTACTCCATATAACACTTAGACACGTGTTCATATCCATTATTATTGTTCCTATGTCACGTTTATATGGGTGCTATGATGCTTATGTAATTAAGACTTTGTCCTCCTCGTTTTAATTAATTATATGGAGTACTACGTATCCGGTAAAAATAAGTTAAGTTCAATAAAATCATTGTTTTTTGTTTTCTATTTTCCGAAAAAAATGGTTTACAATTTTTTTTTTTTTTGGACGGAATGTTTACAAATTGTTAATGATTCTAATAATTTTGACTACTTTTTATCCTTTTTGTTTAATGTACCGTATAACATTAATAAAAAAACATAGTGGTATCAAAGGAACACTTAACTTCAGCAAAAATAATTTAATTTTACATTCAATAAAAACGAGGTGAAGAGAGCAAGCGCAAACTCAAACTTTTAGGGTCCAACATTTTAATTGACCCCATCATAACAATCGTTCAAACACCCCATGATTTGCCTAAAGTACACAAAACAGAGCACATCAAAGAAAAAAACAGGGCATGCAATTCTGAATTCTCATTAATCATCCCATTACATTAATTTCGTGCATTAAAACCCTAGCTCAATCAAACATTAATTAAACCCACATAGAATTCAATCAATTAAACACCAAAGCAGGAGTAATTAAGCAATTAAATCAAAAATCAAATTAAAAAAATGTAATAATTTAGAGAAATTAAATTACCCTTGAGATCTCCTCCTACTAGAAATAATGTTGATGCTTTCAATCACAGAACATCAGCAAAATTCCAATTTTCAACCTTCATAAGAAAAAAAATTAAATTAAATATAAATTAAATTGATTGTAATTAAGAAATGAGAATGGAAAATAAATGTACCAAGGAGAAGTCTCGTAAAAACTAGAGAGAAAGTGGAGAAACAATTTTGCGAGAGAAAAAGAGTAGATGAGGAAGTGTATTGAGGGCGCCAAAGACTTAAGTCATTTTATTTTTAGTTTGGATAGTAGTGGGGGGCTATTTTTTTGGTTAACAAGAGTCTGAATAAGCAAAGGTATACAAGGGTACTTTTAAATGAAATTTCATATATAAGGTCCGTAGGAATTAAGACATGTCTTTAAGATCGTGAAAAATCAAAATGGAGCCCTCTACCTTACCTATCTTAACATATAGATCGATAGCACATAATTAAGTTCTACTTGTCTTTGGAAATGTATGTAACTATTTCTAATTAGCTTTTACTTTTCTTCTTTATTACGGTTTAGTACTGTTTAAAAGGCATAATGTTCTTTAGCTTTTTCTTTTTTGATGATGGCAGAACCTTTTCTTTGTAACAACATAAAACTTGACCAAGAGTTTACTCCCATTACAGTCAACCTCGTACGGACATAACACATAACATTATTTTTACCAAATAGTATGTACTAATACTTTACTTTACTTTGTTACGAAGCTAGATTGTTGTTTCTCATCTGAGGTTTTCGAAAAGTTCAATATATGTTACATTATTGTGGGATTAGTTGATTATGTTTCAAACCATACATTGTTCTTCCAAGCAGCAAAACTCTCTCTATATGTTACTAGCGAAAAGAAAATGGAGGCGGCAAGAATAAGCAGCTTGCTAAATATGGTGTTTTCTTGGTCTTTACAAGACGTTCTCAACAAAAAGCTTTACAAAAATAAGGTATTATTCATACTTCAATTATATGTTTTGTAAAGATGTATACAAACGCGTTTGTTATATGAATTTAATTTTATGAACATAGTGATTTCATTTGGACTAAACTGTTAGTGGTGAGCAGTATTACAACAATAAGGTGAAACATGCGGTCATTGTAGTTAGATAGCATCATTATTCTTTAAGACTTTTGATTCTGATTTTTTGCCTTCATCAACTAGTCATTCTTACTTGCTAGCAAGTTTTAATTTTTTCCATAGTTCAAAACAAAGTTTCTGATGTAGCATATTAATCATAAACTTAGACTTTCTATAGCTCTTATGATGTATAATTAGGAGCTATTCTTTTGTGGTTACTCTGTAGTCTTAGCATAACTTACTTTTCTGCTAAGCAGTTAAAGAAGATACCAGACATGTTCTCTACCACTACGCATTACTTGACCTCATTCCATTATCCACTCATAGAAGAGATTCGAGCAGAGTTTTCTGCCGGTCTGGAGTCTGTGGCTCAATCTCCTGCATGTGAGATATCGAACCTTAGACTTTCTAAGAATTATAAGCCCCCTAAAAGCTTGTACTATGAGATCATGACGAATGAGATAAGAGATGTTGAGAATAAGGGTGGACAGTATGTACTGCAATCCAGTGATCTTATTGCTTTAACGAATGTAAGGCCTCAATCGATGGAAGATCTGATCAGACCGCCTGATAATATGTTTCTTTTTGCCTATGTTGAAACATCAAATGAAGATGAACCCTGGATTCAGATACTGTCTTCAAAAGAATTTGAGCCTAAGCTGAGAAGAAAGAAACATGACAGACTTTTCGCTACTTTCTTGATGAACATGACAACCAGTCTGAGAATATGGAGAGCACTAAATCCTGATCCTAAAAGCACAAATATGGGTCTTATTCAGAAGGTCCTGCAGTATGACTCGACTGTAAGCAAATCTGATTTTCCTTCTTTTTCCGTTGATAAGTCTAATTTAATGTATGAATTGTGATATCATTCCTAAATTTTAATATGAAGATTCATTTTTTGTATTTCTACACTTTAGAAATTTTAGAAACAATTATGATATCCCACAGGTTCTAAGACTTAATCTCTGACATTTTTTTTCATTCAAACCCCTGAAATCTCTTTATTAAATTGCTGATGCACTCACTTGTGAATTTGAATTAATAGGTGGATGAGGATTGTTCTCTTTGCAGCCACGAAGAATGCCTCAATGTTGAAGGATTGAATGTGATTGATCTTGTAGGCTCATTGGGATTAGATGAATCTCAGCAAAATGTTGTTGTAAACAGCATTGCCATGAGAAATTGCTCACATCAGAGTAACAATGTGAAGCTGATTTGGGGCCCGCCCGGAACAGGAAAAACCAAGACAGTTGCTTCTTTATTGTTTGTACTACTTAACTTGAAATGCAGGACACTAACTTGTGCTCCCACCAACATAGCAGTGGTTCAAGTGGCTAACAGACTTGTGAAGCTATTCCTCGAGTCTAATGGTGACTTTGACACCTATGGGTTGGGAGACATAGTCCTCTTTGGGCATGAAGAAAGAATGAAAATAGATGATCATGATAAGTTAGTGGACGTGTTTCTTGATAATCGAAGGAGAGTTCTTGTTGAATGTCTTGATCATCCCTTCTATGGTTGGAAACCTACTTTTAAGTCCATGACATCTTTACTTGAAGATCCCCAAGCACGGTACAATGCTTACTTGCAAGAGTTGCAACAGCGTAAAAAGAAAGATGACGACAAGGGTGATAAGAAAAGTAATGATGAAGTAGCTTCAGAGGGACAAGAAGGGAAGAATGACAAGGTAGAGAACAAGAAGAAAAACAAACGAAGAGGTAAAAGAAAAGATGACAAAGCGAATGATACAGCAACAAAGATTGAGGAATTTATGACATTTGAAGAGTTTTTAAAGAATACTTTCTACTCTTTAACTGATCGTCTAGTTTATTGTATGAAGAGTATCTATACTCACCTACCAACATCATCCTTACCACTAGATGTGGCAAAGAAGATGATAAGACTTGTTCATCTTCTTAAGACCATTTCAAATGAAAGAAAAAAGGTTTGCCGATTTCCTGATCATGTAAACTTGATGATGAAGAGGGAAGAAATTCTAAGTATCTCGAGTTACATTAGTCATCGGTTCCCTAAACTGAAATTTAAAGGAAGCCTGCGCGATTTTTGCTTGTCAAATGCAAAATTGATATTCTGCACTGCTTCAAGTTCTATGAAAGTGAGTAAAAATGTTGAAATGGTTATCATTGATGAAGCTGCACAACTTAAGGAATGCGAGTCAACAATTCCGTTACAAGTTCCTGGCCTTAGGAACACTGTTCTGATAGGCGATGATAGACAGCTTCCGGCTATGGTTCAGAGTAAGGTACGTAAGAAGTTTCTTTATCTCCCAGAATATTAATTGTTGTCTGAAATTCTGATTCTAACAATCTTAGTATTACTTATTTAGGCTTTGGGAGATTTGAACTTTGGAAGGAGTTTGTTCCAACGGCTGACAAAGTTAGGGAAAAAGACGCATCTTCTCAACATTCAGTACAGGATGCATCCTTCCATAAGCTTATTTCCAAATAAGGAGTTTTACAAGAGCAGGATCATAGATTCACCTAAAGTTAAAGAAAGAAGCTATTTTAGAAGTTTTCTTAATGAAGACATGTTTGGATCCTATTCTTTCATAAATGTGTCGCGAGGAAAGGAGGATATTGAAAAAGGTCACAGTCCGAGAAATATGGAGGAGGCTGTTGTGGTTGATCGGATTGTTGCAAAGCTTTTCAAAGGTAAGAGAGTATTTGCTACATCTAGTTATACAACATGCTCCACATTTATAACGTCGTGAATCTGCTCATATATGCAGGGCGAGATTTCACAAAACAGAAGTTGAGTGTGGGAGTAATATCACCTTACAAAGGTCAAGTATGTCTGATTCAAGAAAAAATTGGCAAGAAGTATGCCAATTATCAGGAAAACTTTGCTGTCAATGTTCGTTCTGTTGATGGATTTCAAGGTGGTGAAGAGGATATTATAATAATCTCAACTGTTCGATCTAATAGAAGTGGATCAGTTGGTTTTCTGTCTAATCATCAAAGAACAAACGTAGCTCTAACCAGAGCAAGGTATCATGAATCTGTCTATAAATTTCTCCTGTCAAGCATATTTCAAGTGTTTATATTCTACATTTGGAACATTTTCTTAGTTTAGACGGTTCTGTACTTCTGTCATGTGTAGGTACTGTCTTTGGATAGTAGGAAATTGTACTACATTAACCAGAAGTGGATCGGTTTGGAAGAAGGTTGTCACTGATGCCAAAACACGAGGGTGCTTCTATGATGCAGATGAAGACTTTGACCTTACACGAGCTAAACCAGGAGCCTTAGTTAAGACTAGCCAATCAACCTCTAAACTAGACTTCTTTGGTTCACTAAACCTTGGGAGAGCGAAATGGAAGGTATAGTTACACATATTTAGTGTTCTGTTTTCGGCAGTTATGATCCTGAATTTCATAATATATATAGTGAATGCCTTAATAATTGCAGGTTTTCTTCGGAAATTCTTTCAAAGTCTCAATAACTAGCATAAGCAGCAACAAACTCCAGAACCAAGTGCAGGAAATTCTGAAGAAAATAGCTGATGGCTGGCGTCAGTCCAACTCTGAGGAAGCAGTAAAGAATGTTGTGACTCGTGGCATAGCATTCGAGTTATTGGAGCTATACAAGGTTGATGAACAATTATATCTCGCTTGGACCATTGACATCATAAAGGAGGAATCAGAGTATACTCAAGCTATCAAAGTTTGGGATATTTTACCGGCTTCCATGATTCCTAAACTTGCCAAGGAACTTGATATTCTGTTTAAGAGATATACATTAGACTTTATAAATCGTCGCAAATATAAAGCTTTTGAAGGGTATGTCTACTCTTGTGAAGGGGAGTGCATATACAAGTTTCTTAGAAAAATAGTCGTGTAAACTTTCAAACTTTGTTGCTCTAACTTTCTGTTACTTACGCATATAGGAACTTGGTGGTGCCAATGTCATGGCCACTTCATTCTGTTCTCAGTGCTGAAAATTTGTCAGACCAATTTTCTCTTATGAACATAAGGGATGATCAAGAAGAATCGAGTTCCATATCACTAAGGTAATATAAATGCTTAATCCTGCAATATATTGATCAGCTCTTAAATTATACAGCAATATGGTCTTTTAAGTCGCGGTATTATGAGTTGCAGGAATAATTTGAAGGCTAGAAGTGGACTTGACTCTAGTTTAAGAAGGAGAAAGCGAACAGACAAGGCTGCTTGATGGTTGTATGGATGTATCCGCCGGTATCTCATTCAGTGTTCCAACTTATGCCAACACCTACATTATTATTCAATACGAGTTTTAATTTTTACACTGTTTTATCTAATACTTCCATATTACGAGTAGATTTTACCTTTCTTGTTTCGATAAGGTCACACCAATATTTTAATACGAGTTTGTTACTACAATGCAAATAATGACAGAGAACTCGACCGACCTATGACTAAAACATTATATCAAGCTGAGTATTAGGAGAGTTAACAACTATAATGGACATCTCATACAATATATATATGAAAATGTCGTTGTCAAAAAAAAGAAAGCTTACCAACTGCATCATAATTTTTTATTATGAATTCTGGATTAGTCTTTATTTACAGTTTTTGTCAGTCAATATTTACCTACAAGTATTTTTAAATCAAGCATCTTCTTGCTTCATCAATTATATAAACCCCTAACATTTATAGAGTTATATCAACCCACTTTAACTCACACTTGAAAACACTCACACTGCTTAAAAACTACAAGTCTACAACATAACTTCCTTTCATGAAAGTGAGGAATAACTCAACTGTTTAGAGTTTCTCCTCCGGTTCTAAATTCTAAGAGATTCTGGAATTGATTCTTCCCCACCCGCCCTTTGGTCTCTAAACACCAAAATAAACATAACCTCCTTTCATCACCATTCACCCATGGAAGCACAAACTTGGGTCGCGTATGGTCTGTTTTCCGTAATCTTTGTATACCTCATTAACCACCTTTGTCGCGGCAACCATAAGCTCAACCTTCCACCAGGACCAAAACCATGGCCAATCATCGGAAACTTCGACCTTATTGGACCTCTACCCCATCACTCAATCCATGAGCTCTCTAAAATATATGGGCCAATAATGACCCTCAAATTTGGGTCAGTACCAGTGATAGTGGGCTCATCTGTTGAAATGGCAAAATCTATACTTAAAACTAATGATGAAATATTTGCTGGGAGACCAACAACCGCAGCAGGCAAATATACAACTTATAATTACTCAAATATGACATGGTCTCATTATGGTCCATATTTTCGACAAGCGCGAAAATTGTGGTCTATGCATCTTTTCAGTGCCAAGAGCCTTGAATCATACGAGTACATTAGAGTAGAAGAACATAATTCTCTGTTAAGAAGCATTTTTAACACTAATGGCGAACCCATAACGTTAAAAGATTACCTCTCGAAGTTGAGCCTAAATGTGATTAGTAGGGTGGTGTTAGGGAAAAGGTACTTAGACAAATGTAATGATAACGATGTCGATGGTCAAGTAAATAAGATTGACGACGAATTTAGTTTAATGCTTGATGAATTGTTCATACTAAATGGGGTGTTAAATCTTGGTGATTGGATACCTTGTGTTAAGTACCTTGATATTCAAGGTTATGAGAAAAGAATGAAGATAATTGGTAAAAAGTTTGAAAGGTTTATGGAGCATGTGTTGGATGAACATAATGCTAGGAGGGAAAATGAGAAGGATAATTGGGTGCCTAAAGATATGGTTGATGTGCTATTACAACATGGTAATGATTCCAATCATCAAGTTAAGATTGACAGAAATGGAGTCAAGGCATTTACCCAGGTATGTAATGCTTTCTCATTTATGCTTTTATGGCCTATATTTTTATTACGTACAATAAGATACTCTCTCTATATTCCTTAAAGTTTCTTTCTTTTAAAAATTGATGGGTTTCAAATGATTTCCAGGATTTAATTGCGGGAGGTACAGACACTTCTACAATTACTCTAGAGTGGGCAATCACTGAACTCATAAGAAGACCAGACATCATTGCCAAGGCAACAGAAGAGCTTGATCATGTTATAGGTAAGGAAAGATGGGTCCAAGAGCAAGATATACAAAATTTACCATATATTCAAGCAATAGTGAAAGAAACACTGAGGTTGCACCCAGTTACACCGTTGCTTGTGCCTCGATTTTCGAGGGAGCAAGTGAAAGTTGAAGGTTATGACATTCCTAAGGGTTCAGTTGCTCTTGTGAATACTTTCACCATACACAGAGACCCTAGTGTGTATGACAAGCCTCTTGAGTTTTGGCCTGATAGATTTATTGACAAGGATATAGATGTCAAAAGTCAAGATTTCGAATTTTTACCTTTTGGTTCAGGAAGAAGGAAGTGTCCAGGGTATAATCTTGGCTTGAAGATTGTTGAACCTGGTTTAGCCAATCTTCTTCATGGATTTGAATGGAAATTGCCTGATAACATTAAACCTCAAGATATGGATATGGAAGAGATTTTTGGTCTCACTAATCCTAAGAAAACTCCTGTTGTTGTTTGTGCTCAACCAAGGCTTCCGCATTATATATATTGTAAGTGACCACCCAAGGCGGCTTTCTCGTGTATTGTTAGTCATCACCAATTCGATCTTCCTCTTATTATATGTCATCAACTTCAACACCACAAGAGTTCAGCTCAAGTAGTATGAAGGATCAACCTCTATGTACTTTCTTTATGAGAGGTCTTGGGTTCGAGTTGATTCATCTTTGGGTTGAGACCCATGAATGTCCACTTCATTATCTAGCAAAACAATGTAATTTTTTTCATGTTATCTTTTCTGTCTCCTAAAATCAAATACATTTCTTTGTTTCAATGAAAAGGTAAGTACGTAATTTAAAGATTTAACGGAGGGAGTATATATTTGTCATCTTGTCCCAGCGATTCTTACTCATTTCAACAACATCATAACTTAGAAGTACTCGATGAAAATTTAGCATATAATTCTGATACTCTCATATATACAATTTTCCTTGAACGATAAAAGCAAACACCCTTCCTTTAAAAACTGGGCGCATGCATAACTATTTCAAATTTCCATGTAACAGAGAACATCTCCATTGAACAGAGTTTTGCCAACTGTTTTGGAATCAAATTTCTTATTTACAGCAAAATATTCCTAAAGAACTCAAAGGGTTTGCAAAACTCCATAGATAGCCATAAATGACTAGCAAAATGCAAAATCGCCCTACTTGCAAAATCTAGGCCACAACTGATCAGCTACACCTATTATCAGGATTCACTAGACTGACCAAGGAGGTTATCTGCTCGCTGCTAAGAGAAGAAAGGAACTTGCTTACAATATCAGATGAAGAAGATGCAGAATGGCTGCCTTCGGCTGGAAGCTCAAAATTGTTACCCTTCTGAAACATCTCTAGACCTTTCGGATAAAGCCCAATCAGTCCATAAACAATTGCCATGGGTAGAGTTGTATCGCACTTTGAGGCAGCAGTCTGATATAAAAGATCCAATAGGTGGCTTTTAATTCCCTCAATTCCAATGTCACCATAACCACGTGCTTTAACACCCAGTCTGAAATATTGAAATGTTAGTCAGGTCTTGGAAATATTTATCATAAAAGAGCAAAGTGATGCAGCATATAAATTCGGCAAAGAAAACCTCACCTCCCAATATCACCTAGAAGGACAACAAGAGCAGTAGTGAAGACCCTATCCTGATGACTTGATTCTAACATCATAAATAACTTGGGTACAATTTTGTCACAAACCCAGTCCCAGCCCTGAAAAACAAACAACATAGATCAAGCATATTGCAAATAGGATACAGAAAGAGAAAAAGGATCGCTATATGCTAAAAGTGGAATATAAAAATCGAGTACCATAATAGATGAGATGAGCTCCAGAGATGATAGGATATCACCCAGAAGGCAATTGAGGGCTTCCCTGTTTGATAAATGAGCCGACACAAGAGGATCTTGGGGAACAATATGACTTTGAAGTTCTTCTAATAGCTCTGAGGAAACAACATCCACAGATACAGAACCCTCTGAAAATGGGCATCTAACACATGGAGTAAACTGATTCTGAGAACTATCCCCAAGTTGAACGGCATTCTTTGCAATAGTGCCCTCCATGAAGGTCGCCACAGATCTAACTACGTTCATAACTGATGCGTAATTGCTGATGGAGAAATATTCTTCCCCACATACATGAACAAAAGAATGAAGAACTTTCAAGGCCAGAGAATACTCAGCTTTGTCAATCTGAAGAATTTTCAGTGAAACTTCACATACATAACCAGTATGACCAACTGCTTTAGAGATTGATGCAAAAACAATGCTCCCTGCGACAACCAAATCAGTTGAAGCCATCTTGGGCCACAAGAGAATTTTCTTTCCATCCAGCAGAATTTCAGCACAGGAACTACAACCACCCAGCAACTCACAGGTCATGAAATTAGACATTATTTTTCTGTTAAGCACAAAATCCTCACTCAAAGTAAGTAATTCACGGAGGTCGCAAATTTTAGCAAATAGATCTCTCGTTTCAGAGTTGAATAGCACTGCATGGATAAAAGATAATTTAACAGTGAGTAACAAAACATCAAGAAGAAAGTACATATAAAGGTGATTTTGGTGCCATTAAAAATGGCATATATCAATATACCTGAGTGTATATTAGCAGAGAAAGAATCCATAAGCTCCTGGATGCGGAAATTGACAGGCTTGCTAGATGACACCGCAGAAAAATTGAGTAGTATCAGAGAGAAAAGAACACATGCTTTTTCCCTGGCAATGCACAGAGAAAGGCAAAAAAAATGTTAGCTATATAATGACCTGGAAAAACTTAATAAAAAGACATAAACACCTTGGGACCTAGTCAAAGTGCCAATTTGCTACAAAGTGCCCACAAGATTGCAGCAAAACTCATGCATAAGATAGAGGTATAATAGCATTTTTGACAATTTAAAAGCCCAACACCCTACCAAACAAATCTACACACACCATTGCTACATTATAAAGAGAGGATAATTAAGGCAATCTAATTAACAATTCACCTGGGTCTCAGATCTTTCTCCAACAGTAAGGCCATCAGTATATCCTGCAATGAGAAATCTGTTTGAAAAAACAAGCACCGAGCTAAGCAAGCTCTACTAGCACCATATATCCGGGTAATACTGCTAATATCCTCTAGATCAGTAAACAACACAAAGTATAGTTGGTTTTCATTGTATGCTTGATGCTCTGCCTCGTTGTCTCCTGATATAGGCTCACTAAGCGTCAGTGCTCTGGCCTTTTGTCCAAACTCAAGCAACTCGGGAGGGATAGGAGATAGCGGCCTCTCCATCGCCATTTTGAAACATTCCTCAGCAACTGCATCATCCAAATCAAGAAGTTTCATGTAATCCCCAATTATAACTTGATCAAAGTCCGTCAATGTATCTTGAATGTGTTCAACCCGGTCTATCTCAAGATCTGTTGAAGGCTGAGAAATTTCCCTTGTCTCTGTGGCACTTGGAGCAAAAGTTTTATCTACTTCCATCTCCACATTAGGGTCATTAGCTTGCCGAAAGACTAAATCTGGTTCACGTAATATCTTCCTTTTCTTGCTAGACCAATCAGAATCGCCACATAATTTTTTTTTATTGACAGGGAATGGAAAAATTTCCTTCTCTAGCTGATCGTTCATCAAAGGTTGGAGTAATGTATTTTGTAAAGTAAAAAGCTTTTTTTCTGCTTCCTGGAAAATGCTTTTACCTTCTAAATGCATATGTTTGATGGACTCAATTTCATCAAGAATTTTCCTTCTCTTTTTGGCATGATCAGTTACAGCCTCAACAGGGCTTCTAATGCTGTGTTCACCAGCAATGCAAACTTTCTCACCAGTTTTTCCTTTGTAGCACTCATTAGAGTCTCTGAGAATTGTTGCTCTCTGTTTTGGATTCTCCACTGACAACCCCGCTGACATGTTAAGAGAGCCAGCAACTCTTTCCTGTGATCCCAGCAACTGTTCATCAGAAAAAGATGCTGTATTCGAGTTAAGGGCAGAAGTTGGTATAGTATCGCCACGAGAACCCCCTTGCAGAGGATCCAATTCATTCTCCATACCTGAGGTTGATTCCATGCAAAGCCCTGCTTGCATGAGACGCATGTTTGGCTTGAAACGACATGAAGCATCCTTGGATGACAAGCTAGACATTCTGAGTTCATCATCTCCATGATAACGCATCTGAGGTAGGCCTGATTTCTACAAGTATATAAAATTCAGTAAGGATTATATTGATTCAATCATAATTATATAACAAACAATATTCATAAGGCTCTCAGATAAGCATGGACTTAAAATGATTAAGGAAATTAACATTAACACAATAAGATGGAAATTTATTAAAAATTCAGATGGAAACAAGATAATACAAAACGAGCACTAAATTATTATTTTTTAAAAAAAAGTTAAATAGGAGCTCTTCTTGACAAACCTTTAGTATGTTAGCCACACCATTTCTTGTGCCAAAAGTATCACTTAGCATACCGAGATGATCCAATAAACATTGGAAGTCCTGCTTTAATCTCTTTAGCTCCTGCTGTAAAATGCTGTTGCGGTCTTTTTCTAACTTGGCCACCTCTTTGGCATGCTTCACTCGCTTCTTCTCGAATTTTAATTGTTCCTGCAATAGAGTAACTCTTGCAGCTTGCTCATTAACAGCAAAAGGAGCCACAACTGAGGTTCTATTCAAACCCCTGCATAATTTCACTTCATTTAACTCATGTTCCGCATCCTGAAGCTGTTTTCTAGCATTCACCAGCTCTTGAAATAAATTATCACCTCGGGATTTCTCCTCCATGGCTCTCATTTCATTTGTTACGGCAATTTGCCCTTGTTCTTCTGATTTTAATTTCTGCAAATCTGCACATGTTTTCTCTCTGGCAACCTCTATTCTTTCAGCCTTGAGCATGCCATTCACCTTATTTAGCTCCCTCTCTAAATTCTTAATCATTTCTCTGCTACTCACTAGCTCCTCAAATAGCTTGTCAGCACGACTCTTTTCCTCCATGGCATTCTTAATACTGGCTTCTGCTAGATTTTTCTGTTCTTCCTTTCTGGAAGTCTCAAGATCACCACGTTTTCTCTCTCTAGCAACCTTCTTCTTTTCTGCCTCAAGATTTCTATTAACCTCATCTAATTCAGAAGATTTGGCAGGTTTTTTAGATGAAACCACTTCCTGCAATTCCCTTTGTAATTTATCAACCTTCCGCTTCTCCTCTTCCAACAGCACTAACAGTTTATCAGCACGACTTTTTTCTTCAGAAGCCACCTTCTTGTTTGCATCTGCAATCTTTTTTTGCTCTATAGTTCTAACCTTTTCTTCTTCAACACATCTTTGCCCTTGAGCAGCTTTCTTCTTTTCTTCCTCCAGATTTCTCTTAAGCTCATCAAAAACAGAGGAATCAATAGCTTTCTGAGATGGTAAACCTTCCTGTAACTCCCTTTGCAATTCCTCAACCTTACGCTTCTCCTCCTCCAACTCCATTAACAGTTTATCATTATGGCCTTTTTCTTCAGAGAACCTCTTCTTGTTTGCATCTGCAATCTTTTTTTGCTCCATAGTTCTAACTTTTTCTTCTTCAACACATCTTTGCTCTTGAGCGACTTTCTTCTTTTCTTCCTCAAGATTTCTCTTAAGCTCGTGAAAATCAGATGAATCAATAGTTATCCGCGACGACAAAGCTTCCTGTAATTCCCTTTGCAATTTCTCAACCTTTCGCTTCTCCTCTTCCAACTGTATAAACAAATTGTCAGCACGAAATTTTTCTTCAGAGCCCCTCTGCTTGTTTGCGTCTGCAATCTTTCTTTGCTCCATAACTCTTGCCTTTTCTTCTTCAACACATTTTTGTTCTTCAACTACTTTCTTCCTTTCTTCCTCCAGGTTTTTCTTAAGCTCATCAAACTGAGAGGAATCAATTGCTTTCTGAGATGACAGAACTTCATGTAATTCCCTTTGCAAATTCTCAACCTTTTGCTTCTCCTCTTCAAACTGCCTCATAAATTCATCAGCACGGCACTTTTCTTCAGAAACTCTCTTCTCACAGACCTCTGCAATCTTCCTTTGCTCACTAACTTTCACCTTTTCTTCTGCAACACGTCTTTTCTCTTTAGCAACTTTATTCTTTTCTGCTTCAAGTTTTCTCTTAACCTCATCTAACTCGGAAGTATCAACAGAACTTTTCAATGTCATGATTTCCTGCAACTCATTTTGCAATTTCTCAACCTTCTGCTTTTCCTCTTCCAGCTGAGTAAAATAATTAGCACGGCATTCTTCTTCCTGAACCCTCTTCTCATCGGAACACCTTTTCTCTTTAATAGCATCCTGCTTTTCAGCCTCAAGCTTTCTGTTCACTTCTACCCATTTCAAATTTTTTTTTTTCAAGTTCATTTCTTAAAGTCTCCAACTGAATCCTATGGTCTTCAGCTTTTCTGGCAGCAGCATCAGATATCTTACTTGCTTCTTCAGCTTTTCTCTTTTCATATTCTAAAGATTTCTGCAATTCTGCAACATTTTTCCTCTCCAACTCAACAGCATTTTTTTCTACATTAACCCTGGTTATTTCTTCAGCAAGAAGCTGCTTAAGGCGATCAATTTCCATCTCCTTCTCAGAAATGCAAGTTCGAAGATGAGTTGCTTCATTATCCAATTCTACATTTCCAGAGGTCGCCTGAGGCCCGATAGAAGATGTCTCAGACTTCAATGCAGCAATTTCTTTTTCCATGGTAATCCTAAGAGATGCTTCCTCTCCTTTCTCCTTTTCCACAACATTTACCCGTGCCTGTTCTTCATCACATGCTGAAGATGCACAATTACAAAAGAACACCATTAGTCACTGTATAAATTAGTTTACACAATCCGTTCATGTGCACCAAGCAGGAACGGACAGTCAAAAGTATGTAAATGTGCAAAGATTTAAGTGTATACCAAATCATAATTCTTGCTTCCATGGATGAAATTGATGCAAACTTCACAAAAAAGTTGGTCTAATCCTATAATCGAAGAATCCATTCATCATCATTTTGAAACTAGCTATTATAAATAAAAAATTTAAGAAGCCACATAAATTCTGTACATAACAAAATTTCATATCTAAAAGTGCCCACCTGCTTTGAAGATGCAGTGTTTATTTGATAGCCGGTCTTGAAGGCAAAGAGAGGTCAATAACAAAACAAGACGAACAAAGTTAAGATTCGAAGTTGTCTCTCACAGTGGCAGTTATTAATCATTTCATATGGGTTATATGATTCAAATATTGGGATAATTTTGGTATACATTACCTTGATAAGATTAAAATTAAAATCAAAAAATCCATCCAAAGTTAAGATTACCTAAATTGCCCATTGCCAAACACTTCACGTCAACATATACAACCTTGAAAGGCCCCGGCAACGAAATTATAGATGAAAGAACATCATTATTTAGATTCAAAGTTACTATTTTCTTCCAAATTTGCAACGACGAAAATGGCTGAATTTAGTATCACTAATATGATTCAAGCTTTCGACTTTTTTCAACCAAACTACTATCGAATTTTATATTTTTGAGGTCTCTGTATTTCCTTCTGTTCTCCCTTGACAATCAAACAACCACTTAGCCAAAGCAATGATAGTATACTCGTACGAAACCGTAAAAATTGGACATTGACAGCAATTCAAATGATTCTATTTACCACAAATCAAATTAAATGAACAGTTACCTTTCTTAAGGCTGGCATTGTCCTGTTGAAGAAGATCAATTTGTTTCTGGAGAATTTCAACACCATTTCGAAGAGCATTCCGCTTACCTTCCAATTTCTTATATGCTTTAACCCACTGCTCAATTAAACCACAAAATTTCATAAATCTCAACCAAAATTTATAAATTTTCGACGATTTCGATTCAATTAAAAAGGTTGAAGAAATCATGAGAAAATACCTTCGAACAACAAGGATTTACCGACTCCATTGTCTTCACTGGAGAAGAATTCAACGTCATAAACTGCAAATTTCAAAAAAAAAAAATGGAAAAATTACAAACAGAATGAATAATTTAAGAACCCTAATTGAAATTAAATAACAAAAAAATTAAATTAAATTGAATGATCAAACCTTTTTATTAAATTTGATCATTTCTGAATGAAATTCAATCAATTAATCACGAATGTGTATCAAAAATTGTTGACATTTTTTAAAAAATAGAGAAAAAAATCGAGATTTCTTTTCTAGGCGGGAGCGAGATTTTTTAGGGTTTTAGAATTGGGAAGTTAGAAAGAGAAGGGAGAGGTGGAAGAGAGAGAATTAATGGGCTTTTTACTGGACTTTGGAAAACCCATTTTCTAAAGTCGGTTAATTTGGCCCACGTTCTTTTTTGGGCTGGTTCATTTTCTGGAATTTGGATTTGGTTTTACTTTTTTTTTTTTATCCCTAATCCCTAACATCTAAAAAAATGAGTAATGAACTGCTAATCTACAGTAGTATTCCTCATCTGCCCCTGGCGCGGGCTTTTCCATCTTTTGCCGCGCGTTCGTGTCTTTTGCCATGTTATCAAACAACGCTTTGCAATTACTGACCGGCACTTTGTTAGAAATTTGATCTTATTAATTTTAATCGGGAATTAAAGGCATTTTGTCACTTTGTTAGAAATTTGATCTTATTAATTTTAATCGGGAATTAAAGGCATTTTGTCACTTTGTTAGAAATTTGATCTTATTAATTTTAATCGAGAATTAAAGGCATTTTGTCACTTTGTTAGAAATTTGATCTTATTAATTTTAATCGGGAATTAAAGGCATTTTGTCACTTTGTTAGAAATTTGATCTTATTAATTTTAATCGGGAATTAAAGGCATTTTGCCACTTTGTTAGAAATTTGATCTTATTAATTTTAATCGGGAATTAAAGGCATTTTGTCACTTTGTTAGAAATTTGATCTTATTAATTTTAATCGGGAATTAAAGGCATTTTGCCACTTTGTTAGAAATTTGATCTTATTAATTTTAATCGGGAATTAAAGGCATTTTGTGACTTTGTTAGAAATTTGATCTTATTAATTTTAATCGGGAATTAAAGGCATTTTGCCACTTTGTTAGAAATTTGATCTTATTAATTTTAATCGGGAATTAAGGCATTTTGTCACTTTGTTAGAAATTTGATTTTATTAATTTTAATCTGAAATTCAAGGCATTTTGTCGGTGCGTTGGTCGAATTATGGGTGTTCAGATTTGCGCCACTTTATTGTTGGTAAGATTTGCCTTTGATTTCTTTGCTTTAGTAGTGGCTTTTGCTTTGATTTTTTAATACTGTTAATTGAGTTGAGTTGTGCATCAAAATTAGTTACGCTGTGCATTTGTTTAGATGTTAGGGATTTTATTAAATTTAGATGAAGTGCTTACTTGAAATTTGTTTATTTTAAGTTGATTTAATTAAATTTAGATGAAGTGCTTAGTTCAAATTCGGTGAATTGAGTAAGGTGTGTTTAAAGTTCCAATACCTTGTTTGTGGTGAATGGGTGGTGAGTATTTCTTCTTTTATGGCCTTTGATTGTACTGTGTGGGTGCTCACCAAGTTGTGTTCTTGTTGTACTATTGGATATTAGCTTTATCCTCCTGATTTGTACAGTTTGTCTTTTTATGGGGGGGAGGGGTGTATCTAAATACTTGTGCATTTGTGTCTTCCGTTAGTTGTTAGTTTCTCTGGGAAGTTTAATTTGGTCTAGGTTATTACAAATTTTGCTTATGTTTTATTTGTTTTAACTTGGTGTTAATTGTCGCACACTTGCTCTTTTACCAGACATGATGCGAACAAAAGATTGCTTTTACCAAATTCAATATGCTTAAAATTCAATATGCTGGTATATGGCCTGACAGTGCATCATCTAGCCAGGGTTGCAGCCCTCATATTGTTGTTTTAGGAAAATCCAGTGAATCACATCGTATCTACCATCATTACGGGTGATATGACCCCTTGCGGTACCCACTTCTATTTCCTCGTGGTGAGTGTGGCTGGAATCAAGGTCTGAAAAAAAAATCTTGGGGGAGACATCGACAGCTAGCTACACAGGTGGATCCTGTGCTCTCATGTGTTGTTCATATTGCTGAAGAGTTGTTGGATGCAGAGGCATCACGTAAGTTTCCTAAATGGCAATCCTTTCTCCTAACATGTATAACTGACATCCAATAAAGTCTGAATTGGTTTGTGCTTAATTCGTTTTTTGGGCATTGCAGGGGCAGTTGGCAAACGTACAAGAGCAGATAGATTCATTTCTCCTAGAGAATAATATGCTTATATGTTACAAATTCGGCGTGGTAATATGTTGTTGAGTGCTGGGTGGTGGGTGGTGCTTGCAACAGTATATCGTTGACATGTATGTGAAGATGGAAAACACTCGGTTGGATTATTTTCGTAACAACTAGGATACCATCAGAGCAGACCTTTATCAAGGTATCTTGGATTCTTTGCAAAGTGGAGAAAACTTGGCATGTTATGTTGGTCGACGAGTTATTTTTCCCCCTACTTTTATTGGTGGACCTAGGGATATGAAAAAGCGTTATCTAAATGCTATGGCTTTGGTTCAAAGATATGGTAAGCCAGATCTTTTTATAACAATTACGTGCAATGCAAATTGGCTGGAGATTAAAGATGAGCTAGCCCCAGGGGAATCCACTCAAGATCGTCCAGATCTTGTTACAAGAATCTTCCGAGCTAAGCTTTTAACCCTGAAACGAGAAATCATGGACAATGAGATATTTGGAGAAGTTGCTGCAATGATCTATGTTATTGAATTCCAGAAAAGATGGCTTCCTCATGCACACTTTTTAATTATTCTTAAGAGTCACTCTATAAGCTGAAGTGCCCTACAGACTATGACAAATTTGTCTGTGCTGAGATACCATCTGTTTCTGACAGTGTTACGCAAAATTGTCTTGCGGCATATGATGCATGGCCCTTGTGGTCGATTGAATCCACAATGCACATGTATGCGTAAAAAAGGAGACAAAGCAGCATGTAAGTATAACTTCCCTAAACAGTACTCAGAAGAGACAACAACTTACGATGATGGGTTTCCAACGTATCGTAGGCGTAACACTGGTGAAAAGGTCACTGTTAGAAATGCTCAGCTTGATAATCGCTGGGTCATTCCTTATAATCCTTATATGTCTATGTTGTTCGATTGCCCTTTGAATGTAGAAGTTTGCTCAACAATAAAAGCAGTCAAATATTTGTACAAGTATGTTTACAAGGGACATGACAAGATATCTTACAATGTGCTTCCAGTCAATGGTGAACCTGTAGATGAAATAGAACAATTCCAGTCAGGAAGATGGGTATCCATCCCCATGTGAAGCTGCATGGAGGTTGTTCTCATTTGATCTGTTTGAACTGAACCCTCCAGTCCTGCTATTACAGGTTCATCTGCCAAACCAATAGACAGTCCATTTAAATTCTCATGAACGTCTTGATGCCGTTGTTAGTAATTCAAAGCGGTCTCGAACACAGCTCACTGAATTTTTTGCTATGAACGCTGCTGTACCTGGTGGACTAGGTTATTTGTATCGTGAATTTTGTGAACACTATAGGTGGGAATCATCAAGTAGAGAATGGATTGAGAGAGTTCGCAAAAGAATATTCCAAGTTGGGCGTCTAGCTTTTGTTTTTCCAGCTGAGGGAGAACGGTTTTGTTTAAGGTTGCTGCTGCTCCATGTTAGGAGTCCCCAGTCATTTCAATATCTTAGAACTGTAAATGGTTATGTTTGTTCTACCTTTTAGGAAGCAGCTATCAGACTAAGATTGCTAGAAGAAGATGATCTAGCTACTCTTTATCTTGATGAGGCTTGTGAAACACACATACCACCTGCCTCCTATATGCAGCAGTTCTTATTTTTTGTCAGCCTGCTAATCCTTCTGCATTATGGACAAAGTTCTATCCTTTTATGTGTGAACTTCAGTCACCAATTTCCAGGTGATTCAGCAAAAGGTCGAAAGCTTACTGTTAAAGTTGTAGAACAACATTTAGAAGCTATGGGTAAATCATTTGCTGATTTTGACCTTGATGAAATATATGATGAAACTGATGATGAGTTAAGGCGAACGAAAGACATCATCGATGCTTTAGATACACCTATTCCTCAACAATGCATTGACTGTCGGGAATGCTTAAATCCAACCCAGAAAGCTGCTTTTTCTTGTATCATGCAGCATGTTATAGATAACAGGTGCCTTTTTCATTGATGGACCGGGTGGCACGGATAAAACATTCTTATACAATGTGCTCTATGCTAATTGCTAAATAAGGCTGTTGAATAAGATTGTGTTACCAACAGACACCTCTGGAATAACTGCAGCAAACATTCCTTCTGGGTGGACTGCGCATTCTAGGTTTAAATTCCTGTTGATTCTGCGAGTACATTAATATGCGTTGTTCCTAAGCAAAGCAGCCTTGCAACTCTACTAAGAGAAACTACGTTAATAATATGGGATGAGGCATTGATGGCTCATGCAGGATTTGTGTGGGAATACTACTTTATTTGGTGGCAAGCTTCTTGTGCTTGGAGGAGATTTCCGACAAGTGCTTCCAATTGTTCCTCAAAAAACACAACGGGAAGCAGTTGAAGCTAGAATTATGACTTCATACTTATGGCCAAAGCTTCAACAATTTAGGCTTACTGAAAAGATAAGAGCCAAAGATGATCTGCAGTATTCTTTATTTTTGTTGGCATTGGGGAACGGAGAGCTACAGCAGACAGAGAACAATTATGTTCTGTTGCCTGTAGAAATTGTTCATCCTCTTATGGATGATACAGATCCTGTTACAGAAATCATGGCAGCCACATTTCCTGAATTCAGTACAGGTGTCTTCACCAATGATGTTTTTACAAAGAGGGTTGTTCTTACGCCAATGAATGATGATGTTGATGCTATTAATTCGGTTATGATTGATCAGTTTCCTGGTGCAACTGTTGCCTACGGGACGCTGTATTTCCTTTTTATTTATCTTATCTGCAGGACGTCCAGTCACTTCATGTGACATTTGCCTACCCGGTTAGCTCCCGGTGTAGTTTACTTCAATTTATTTGAGGCAGGGATTTGGTTGGAAACCCGTTCGATGTGTAATCAAAATTAAATGAACATTGGTATTTGTCTAGTTAAGTGTTGAGTGTTTTGTATGCATAAGTTGTGTGATGATAGAATGAAAGCATGTTAGTATGTTTTTATTACGCTTATGTACTCGACATTGCTGATTGTGTGTTTGTATGTTTGTTTGGTCTTGTCTTTACCTTGGCCCTACGACGATCCATTTCTAATGGCGAGTAGTGGGACGAGTAGAGAGAAAGTTTTTTAGGAGTGAAGCATCTTTCATGATAGGCATGAGTGAAGAGTGAATCATGCTTAGTTCCCACAGGAATATGATGTGTTTTATTTGCTTTGAATATTATTTATTTTATCGTGCTTATGAGACTAACGCAAAGGTTTTCAGTATTGTTTGGTTTTAAGGGCCTACAGCGGTCCCAAGTTGTAGGTTGACTTTGTTTGACTTTTCGTTTTACTTTACTTTCATTGGGTTTGACTTTTAAAGTTGATTTGTTTTGAAATGGTTTTAAAGATAGTCTTCCGCTGTGTGTGTCTTTGATATTTGCCTTAACCGTTTTCACGGTGTCGATAATGTCTTAGATTTTCCTACTTTGTATTTTAAAAAGGGCAAAATAGGTATTTTAAAGGAAAGGAATTTTATAGGGTGTTACAAGCACGCAAGCTAATTGATTTATGCTAAGTACGAAATTAGTCCGATTTTATACAAACCTACCGTAAGCCCGATATGGAACCATGGACATGGCGAGGGTCATGAGTGGTACATGAACATCATTCCCAAATTTTGGCAATTCATGCTAGACTACTAGTATCACACAATTCAACATTTTAACCCAACATATGAGACAGGTCATGCATGAGCCTGTTTATAAAAGATCAACACGATTATTCCTTCGTTCGGATTTTGCCTTTAGGTTTACTTTATACTCGACCACTCACGCTATAGTATATTGATTTAATGTTGAGCCTTGGGTCAAGACACTAATAACACTTAGTCTATTTGATTTCATATCGAGCCCTAGGTCAAGGCATATGACATGGAAAATACCCAACACTATATACACAAGTTGCATGTATTAATCTTCAAAAGGTGTGTAAACACTCTATCAAATTTACTACATCCTTTATTTATCAAACAATGTAAAATAAAGAGAGAAACATATTGGTAATTGAAAAATTGGACACCAAGTTCTCAAAATTTAACTTACTCAATAGAAATATATAAGTACAAGGTACAAACCTGGCCTTTTAAACTTTGAAATATATTTTCACAAACACAAATGACGATTATGCTAATGTGCTATGGCACATATAAGGTTGGCTCGTGAATAAAGGTCCTAATGGCGAATAACTCTTGGCGCATAGCACCTATTATTTTGAAACACACAATATGACTAAGTTGTAAATATTAACATGAGTATGAAGTACCATCAAATAGGTAAATAGTACCATTGAATGTTGTAGTGGTATAAATACTTTTCTAATGGTACAAATAAATATGTAGATTGTACATCAAATATTATACAACTGTGAGATATAGTAGTACTACTAAGACAATTTATAATCTAATGGTATAATATACATGCATAATAGTACACAAAAAGTACCACTGTCCCCTAAAAGTACCATTATGGATGTTAAATGACTATTTGACCCTCCTATTTGCAAAGAAAAAATATAGGCGTTGTGTGTCTAGATGGACTAGATTGGTGCAATTTCAATTTCTAACCGACTATAAGAAAACATTTTAACTTAGAAAAAGAAGCACGAATAAGTTAAATTAAGCTCATATTAGTAAAAATCAAGTTTTAATAGCCAAGTAATATGCTCCATGACTAAAACAGGACCATCTTGCAACAAAAACATTATTGGACTTAATTCTTATATGACCATCAATTTTGATATAATCTTTCTTATGCAATCATGTTATTTTGAAGCCACTTTTTTCTCCTTTACAAAAGCAGATGCTTAATCTAGATAATTAAGTGGCTAATCTAATCTACACCTCTGCCACACCCTAAAAATATTATAGATCTATGATACTACCAACCTTAATAATATAACAAATCTAATAAGTTTATTTAATCACTTGATTTCACCAATAATAGACACCTTTTGTGATTAATTAGCATATCATATGGACTCAAATAAGACAAATAATTATGTCTACTTGCATCAATGAAGGGTTATTTTGGTGTATTGTTGCATCTCAATTCCAATGAAAGATTCTTTGAGCATTTCAAAGTTGATGGAGATCCACTTGTGACCTTGTCAACTTCACTTGTGCTGCCCACACGAATGCAAATATCTTTATCATGTAAATTAAAGTTGTATGACCCCTACTTCGGTTCACCCTCCCTTGGTAAAATTTAACAATGATTGAACCATTTTAATTTAATTTATTCATTATTATACTCATTCCGTTTGTTAGTGTAAATTCTGTTTGAAACTTACAAAATTAAATGTAAACGAGTCTAATATGTTCTTATTAGAATATATGATATATATATTCTGATATATTTGTAAATATTGTATAATCTCCTAACTTGTATATCATATATTTTGTAGTATCGCAGTCTAGCAGGCGCTTTGCAGTATCTTACTTTTACCAGGCCTGACATATCTTATGCTGTTCAACATATTTGTTTGCATATGCATGATCCCAGGGACACACATATGGCTGCTCTTAAGCGCATTCTGCGCTACTTGCAGGGCACTTTGTCTTATGGTCTTCAGTTGTACAAATCTTCCATCACCACACTTGTTTCCTACACTGATGCAGATTGGGGGGGGGGGGGGATGTCCTGACACTAGACGTTCTACTTCTGGTTATTGTGTCTTTTTAGGTGACAACTTGGTTTCTTGGTCATCAAAACGACAACCTACATTATCTCGCTCCAGTGCTGAGGCCGAGTATCGTGGGGTAGCTAATGTTGTTTCGGATTCGTGTTGGATTCGGAATCTGCTTCTTGAACTGCATTTTCCAATAACAAAAGCTACTCTTGTTTATTGTGACAATGTGAGTGCCATTTATTTATCAGGTAATCCAGTACAACTTCAGCGTACGAAACACATTGAGATGGATATTCATTTTGTCAGAGAGAAGGTCGCTAAGGGTGAAGTACGGGTTATGCATGTTCCTACTCGTTATCAAATTGCCGATATATTTACGAAGGGTCTACCTCGTATTCTCTTTGAAGATTTTAGGGACAGTCTCAGCATTCGTGTTCCTCCTGATTCGACTGCGGGGGAGTATTAGAATATATGATATATATATTCTGATATATTTGTAAATATTGTATAATCTCCTAATTTGTATATCATATATTCTGTAGTATCCTTTCCTTATTTCTAGCTTATTAGTTCCTAATTCTTAGGCATAGATTAATCAATGACAATTGTATATAATCAGTTTTGGTTGAATGATAACACACGAGATTACATTCCTTCAGTTCTCAATAGTTTTTTGAGAAGAAACATACTTAAATTTTTATGTGAGACTTTAATATGCAACTTTTATAATGTATATTTTCATAATATTAACTTTTATTACGTAATTAAAAATATTATAAATTAACGCGTATACTGAAAATTGTACAAAAAGTGAAATTTAAATAATTGAAACACACAAGCGCAACTATAGTCAAATGTCAACTCTCCTATCAAGAGTAGGAAGTTAATGGGGTTGCTTATAACAAAAACACTTTGGCAAATTCCCCCTATAAATTTCTAATACAACCTCCTTGTTACACACAAAATCTAGGTAGGTGGTATCTAAGGTAAGGGAAATCTAGCCTTGTAATTAAAAAACAAAATAAAAAAAGTTTTTGTTTCAAGTTGAATGCTTAAAGGTGAACATAATAAAATAGTATAAATTATGGTAAAAGGAATAATAAAAGTCACATCAATCAAAGACTCAAAGTGTTCATCTAGTTGAAGTCATCACACACGCACTAATCACACACTCCATACAGTATAATTATAATAATTAATTGTAATTATAATCCCTCAACTTTTATATATAGTTTTTGTTTTATTTATGCATAATGTTTAAATTTGTATTGCACGCATCTATTTAATCCTACATTTGTTTACTTATGCACATTTACAAAAAAAATCCATTTTTATTTTATATTATTATAATATAAATAGATTTTTAGGTTCCAAAAAAATAAATATAAATAGATTTAAAAAAAAGTTAATATCTAGAATTTACACATCCGATCCAAACAAATCAAACAAGATTTCATACAAATGTTTATGTCATATATATTTATCTAAATAATACTCCGTATTAAATTTAATTTGCATTACAAATTTACAAGACTAGTAAATATAAAAAAACAGAGGGAGCAATTTAATAATGATAAAGTTAAATAAATTATATTAAATAATTTCTAAGAACCTAGCTATATAACCATGCTAGCTATAAATTGGCTACTATGCTTCCTCCTTAGCTCCAACTTATTTAAAACCATAAACTTGAGCTTACCATATATATTTTCCCTCAAATTATTATACACTTTAAAAAAAAACACACACACACAGAAAATGACATTCACAGAGAAGGATGAAGCATTGGTTAAAGAATCATGGGATATTATGAAGCTAAATATCCCTGAATACAGTCTTCGTTTCTTCACCATGTAAGTTTTTCACAAAACAAATTAATTAAATTATTTTTCAATGGTAGTTGTTGTACATGAAAGTATTTATTTAATTTGACATTATAGAGGTAATATAATTAATTATTCATTGTAAAAAATTATATGTCCACTCTAATAAAAATGGGCTATTTTTGTGAAATGTAATGACAGAATATTGGAAATAGCACCAGCAGCAAAAGATATGTTTTCATTTTTAAGGGATTCAGAGGAAATTCCACACAACAATCCCAAGCTCAAAGCTCATGCTGTTAAGGTTTTTAAAATGGTGAGTTTTATTTATTAAACAAGTGAGTTTTTAGATCTTAATCATTCATAAAATAGCTAAATGTCACGCGATTTAGCTCGTATAAGTCATTTCACAACAACAACGCAATATTAAACGTAATTTTGTTATTACTTAGCTTGGCTTTACAATACCAATAATGTAACTTGATCATCACCTTCTTAAGTTTTTACTTGTGTAATTAATTATTAAAACAACTATTACCTAGCATTTAATGTTATTGTAAGTTGCGTACAAAATTATGAAATGAAATGATCTTAAATTGAATTTGTGTTAAACCTATCGATAATATATATTGAGTCAAGCATTTTTTACACATGTATTGAGGTTTTAGATTAAAATTTTTTAAAAAAATTTATGTATGTATGCAAAATAAAGAAGAATTCATATGGTTAAATCGACTGAAATAGTTAATTTATTGAATCTTGACAATTACATTATATGCAAGAAAATTTTATTATTCATTTCAAAATAATTGCACATTTTGTACACAGTACACTAATAAATTGAAAGATATAGGTGTTTATAGTGACCTAAGATAAACTCTAGAAAAGTAAATTAGTAGGATTGATATAGTGGGCATATTATTTTATCAAAATGAATGGCTATGCATCTCTTGGATATATTTATAAGATCAGACAAAACACATTACTGACAGTCAGCAATTTTTCCTCAATGAATGGAGGTACAAGCTACTGTATTAACTATTAAGGGGTTTAATAAGGCCCACATTCACATAGGTTGTCAACTTTTTTATTTTTATTTTATTTTTTGAGGTAATCTAATCTAATTAGACACTACGAGTAGGTCACTAACTCACTTATACAAGTAAGATTTTAGTCATTTTATCAAAAATACTACTCCTGCCGTTTTAAAATGATAGTGCGTGTATTCTTACTTGTTTTACTTAAGAATATGTTTATGTTTTCTTTTTCAAAGTGATAATACCCTCTTCACCACATTCTTATTACTTTGCAGATCAATTTATCATTTACTTTTAAATATCCAAAATAGCTACAATTAATAAACTATTTTATTTAAAATTTATCTTATCATAACTTTTTATGATATATACATGAAACATCTATAGACATGTGAGTCAGCAATTCAACTTCGGGAAAAAGGTGAGGTGGTTGTAGGAGAGACTACCCTTAAGTATTTGGGAGCCATTCATTTGAAGAATGGAGTGGCTGATCCCCATTTTGAGGTAAACACTTTTCTTATGATTAATGATTGATTAATACTACTATGAGAATTAATATATTATTTAATACTCGGACTAATTAGGCGAACAATTAATTGAGCTACGTTGACTAATTATGAATAGGTTGTGAAACAAGCATTACTTAGAACAGTTGAAGAAGCAACTGGTGACAAATGGAGTGAAGAATTGAAATGTGCTTGGAGTATTGCCTATGATGAGCTAGCTGCAGCCATCAAAGCTGAAATGAAGGAAGAGGCAGCTTAATCATTGGTGTTATATAATTATATGAATTACCCAAAAATAAGCACGAAAAATATTTGAAAAGAAAAAAGTTCGAGTTGATTTTGTTTGCCAAAATTAGCCATCTGCTACCTGTGTGAGTTCATGATTGAGAAATTTGTATTGGTTGGAAAAAAAAAAAAAAGTCAAATTCATATCTGTTGGTGTAATACGGAGTAATGTATTTAAATCCGGTAATTATATGGAGTATTGTTTATTTTTATTCTACTTTATTAAATTAGACTTTGAAAATATTATCTACTCTCTTCATCTGTAATAATGGTGTATTTGATTTTGATCATTGAAAGACAATTTTAAGAAATTAGGTTTAAATACCACAGATAAGGTCCATATCTTACCGAATTTAGAGCTCTGTATTTATACGGTAATTTTCACTAATACCCTTCCGTCTCTATTTTTGTCCTTATTTGACTTTTCACGGACTCCAATTTTATCATAGTCGCCTACTCTCCTCCAAATTGAAGTTGAATGTGGATATATAAATGGGAGGCCAGGCCAAAGCCATGCAAGAATAGGTGTTTTTCAAAGTAGTAGTTGATGGATCCTTTATTCTTCCCATTGTCTGTACCTTAGACATTACATTGTTAAAAGGAGCATGGAGAACAAAAGATAAATACAAGTATCCAACTCAAGAAAATGCAATGTTAGAGAGATAAACGACCAATATCCATGGGAGCTTTGTTTAAACTTTAAACTGGAATAAATTGCAGAGAATTTTATGAGCACCTTCACACATTTGTGCGTGACAACGTTTCTGATCTAAATTTTTACATATCAACTTGACCACAATTTGACTTCTTTCATGAAGAAAAACAATAAGAAAATAATTTTCATTCTCTTTAGAATTGTGAAACATATATGCAATGCTGTTGATACTCATACAATAACCTCATATGAACATGGTTACCGAAAAAACAGCAACCAAAACCTAAAAAGAAAACAAAAAGAAAGAGGATGGGGAGTGGAGACACAAAACTGTTACACTATTCTTTGTTCCCTGCCTCTACTAAATTAAATTAGGGGAAAATCGGAAAATTTGTTTCAGGGGAACAAAGTCTTAAGGATGCTACCCATTAGGTTTGTTGTATATAGTATACAAAAAAATCCTGGTTGTGAAATCTCCGTGAAAAATAAGAATCCAAAGAATTGTACCTCATATACCTGCACAAATTAAACAAGATTAAGCAAAATGGTACTAAATCACTACTTACTACGAAGCCACATAATCTAGTTTTATGCCTTAAAGAGTTGGGCAAACCAATATGATATAATAGCAAGGCGTGTTCCAAAAATTAAAAACGTGCATGAAAAGTGAAAAAAAGAATTAGATTGTGTTCTTAAACAGTCAAGTGACTGACCTTTCTACAGCTAGATTCAAAAGCAGAGGATGATAGCATAGCTGAACAGTGGATTTTTCAATCTGCAATGATGCCTTCGGCGGAGAAAAGAAAAAAACGTACAAAAGCAAGTCTACTGATCACCTTCATTATCAAATCTTTGGGCCAAGAATTCATCAAGGTGCCCCCAATTTGCAACACCTGACTTGCTAGCAATATCAGTAGGAAGTGAGCGTATACACCCTAGAATATGTTGGACGTCCCGATAGAGTCTGCAACACCATTACATATTTTAGATAAAAGTTTATAAATCAAGGTTATAGGCATAGCGCTTCAATGCAACAACACAACAGTACCTCGACTTTGCTTGTGGAGTGCTGATCTCCAAGCGGGAAAATGCTTCGGAAATTTGTGAATGAAATATTATGACCACTTGCCTGCAGATGGGATTCACAAAAGAAACATAAGGTTGTTTTTCAAAGAAAAATATAACTTCCCAATACTTATTGTTAAAAGATGTCAAAAATAAGATTGAAATTCAATTTTTGAAATAAAATGACTAAAAAAATAGAGAAAGATGCAGCCACACAAACACATATTAAGAAGCTGAACAGATAGGCCAACACAATAGGCAAGTATGACAAAACTTAAGAACACAAACATATATTACAAGATGGATAGTTTAATATGAAGTAGATTAACAACACTACTCCCTGTCTATTCCATAACTTTAGGGCTATAACAAATTTTTTCGGGAGGTTAAAGTGGTGGGATTTCAGAATACAAACCTTTATATAAAAAATAAAAGATAAAATAAAAAATAAAAATGCAGTATTCAATTTCTTTTTTAATTCAACTACTCCCCAGATCACCATATATAAACCCCTTTACTATGTCCACCTTATAACTTATCCATCCCATCCTACTCAACTGAGGGTCTCTAAATTTTCCGCCACAAACTCAGAAACCTTGCATTACAAAGACGGGAGGAGTATCAGCATTCAAGCAAGTAATCAACAATGCAAGCTAAACGAAACAGTCAAAACTAGTATTTGATCAAGCTTTCTGACATATTTATGTATGTAGAGGCATTTTTATCATTAATAATAATGTCTATGGAAATCTCTGCTTTAACAAATTAGAACTGGGGGTGTGTTATTCTCTCATCTTAGCTAGACATACATCTGGGTAAAGTTGAAAATTTGGGCAAGAATGCATATAAACATGTGAGATGACAGAAACTACAAACTATTAACATCTGTCAAAATCACCTGAAAATCGCTTGGACATCTGCCTCATGAAGCATACGAGACAAGACACGTTGAAGATAGCCAACCTCCTACAATGTAATGTAAAAAAATAGTTCACATTTGTCAATACTCAAAACGGAATTTCACAACAAAAAGACTCACAAAGCCCAGGCTTTGCAGAAAAACACTATGACTTTCAAATTCACATTACAAGGATGATCAAGGGGCTCATATATAAACTTAGAACATTTCTTCGGTTTTCAATCATGTCACTCTGAAATAAATGTCCATCAATGCTTCATTTTGTTAATTAAAACCTTGAGCCTAAAATATGCAGGAATGTCCTCCATGCAGTTCAGAGAACAGTAGCCCACATTCAATAGCTTAAGCAGTATCAGTTAGCTACTGTCGCTTACAGATCTAAAATAGAATCAAAACAGAGTGAAACATCTATAGTAGGAGGAATCAGGAATGTAAACAGGACTACAGGCGGGAGAAAAAAGGAGATTAATTTGCAAAGGAAAACAAAAATAAAGAAAAGGTGATATTTATTACCTTCGTTAATGATTTTGCAAATTGACTAGGCTGTGTGTCACCATCATCAGGTTTATTCCAACTCTCAACAATATGAGGTAATCCTCGTAAATGAACTAACAACCTCTCCCTCATAATCTGAACCAGCTTTGTATGTATTTCATCCCGATGGACCTTATAATCCTACAAAAGAGAGATATATATGGACTAAGTAAAAGCAATTTCAGAAGAAGCCCCAAGCTTCAGAAATACAGATTTTTTTTTTATTTTTTTTTTGGAGAGAGAGGGGGGGGGGGTGGAGGGGAGCGAATAGGGAAAACAGCAGGTCCAGGGCCCCCAAGAATTCGCAGGAACGAGTGTGAGCTCTGCTTATTGTGATCTCAGGTTTACTCCCGAAGGCCATAAACTGCTAAACATATGCATTACAACTTTCAGTGATAGCACAAAGACTAAAAGTAAAGTCTTCATTCTTTATGTTGGCTTCTTGCTTATGACAATTTCATATCATTTCCTCAGCCTTCTTACACCTTGCTGTGGAGAAAGATCTGCATAAAGTTTCAGTGGTCTTTGCAAATATAATTCAAGTCCAGAGCAAATATTTTTTCACTGAAATGCACAATTGTATTTCTATTGAAGGGGGGCTGCATGTGTTATGAGTTTTCATTAAATTATTGTATTTGATAAGTACAGTGGAGAGAAAAATTTGCCCTTTTGTTCTCCTCCACTGACCAGTCCTTGAAAATAATAGCATTCTAGCTAGCCAAGACATGTTCTTAATTAAACATACACACATATAAAGAGTCAAGGATTACAAACAAAACAATATCAAAAAAAAAATTTTAAAAAATAAAAATAAAAAATCTATTTTCAGGATTTATGGAAATGAAATTGACAAATGCAATTGCCAGACAGCAAATAAAGCATGATATCACATAAAATAAAGAGAAAATGTCTAGCAAGACTAAAAAATGGCTGTCCAATTTCAACAAAGCAGGAGTCTCTAATAGACGACCATGAATAACAGAGGAGTAGACTACTAATTTAATGGAGCTCCACAGAGAAAGTGCACCATATCAAAGGCAACGAAACTGTATAGGGTATGAATGGAAACATATAACAAAGAAAAACAAAAGGGTGTAACAGCATATTAAAATCCATACCTGTGCCACCCGATCGATCTCTGACTTTAACAGTGGTTTTCTGGTCTCTGGTACATTGAGAAAAAGAACCTGCTTGATATCTTGAAACACAGAAAGTAACATAGCATTAGAGTTTTTCTAACTAACAATGATTTTTAAAACATTATATCTTAACCAGTCAAGAAGAGGAGTAATATGCTTGATGCTCAATCATAGGCATTACACGAAATAGATTAGGTTTTGCTATCCACAACTGAACAATATGTAACAAACACTTTCTCATGCATGAAGCACCAAATATATTCATCTACCCCTTTTTTTTTATTTATCTTTTGACAAGAATGAGAAAGTAGATAACTACATTAAATTATCTCAGCCACAAGTAACATAAAACCAAATTAATGGCCAAACAAGATGTTTACAATCAAGACTTTAGCAAACAACCTCATTTTTAAGAGAGTGCAAACTGCACACATGAGTAGGCTCAGCGAAGTGATTGCAACAGTTTCATATCCAGTAACAATTGGGAATCATCCTCAACTGAGAATGATCCTGTGTCATCATTTTCTAACAAAAAGTACATTCAACATTATCCAGAAGAATACTTATACCGTCTTTATCTATTCTTCTATCACCCAACTTAATAATATAAAATATAACTTTTTTACAGGCATAGTTCTTTGTTCAATTTATGTTTCACGTACCTGGAATAATAGCATATGTAAAACTGATGACTTGACTTGCCAAAGCCAAATGTTTGGAAGTGATTGATTTCAAACCAGACACCTGCAATTTAACAAAACATAGCAATCCAGATTACTGAAACAGTAGGAAAAGTATGCAGATAATTAAGTCAGAGGATAGAAGCCCAGGTGTTAGAATCCAACTCCTTTTGATGTATTAGATTCCATTTAAGTGCTTTCCTAGAGTTTAGGTTATGTTTTCTTAGCTTGAGGTCCCATTATTGTGTTACTGTCAGATCAGTGTTCACTAGGGATTCTCCTTGTATGTCATTTAAAGCTCTTTAGAGGGCGAATGATTAATGAAATCTTAAAGCCTTCTACCAAGTGTTGCCTTGCTTTTATGCTTGTTTGTTGTTAGACCTTTATAGATATTGTGTCTTACTTGCATATTAGCTCCCCTCCAACCCAACTTGATGCGCTAAGGACTCGTGGTTCGGACCCGCTTGTGCCCGCTTTGAAGTATCGGCCGTCACAAGCCCCGACCACCCGCACTCCGTCGCCCAGATAGACGTGAGTGCTCCTGAGATTCTATTGCCCGCTTGTGTTGCTTTGTGCTCACAAGCCCCTCTTCCGCTCAAGGCTAGCGTTCTTGCCGCCAAAAGGCTAGAGCGCGCCGCACGTTTTGGGGTCCAAACTCCCGGACCGTGACAGTTGGTATCAGAGCCGAGGCTCAAACCTCGTCGCAAGCAACCCGTGTAGGCACCAAGGAGGGCTACACGAAGATGGAATTCGTAGAAGAAAGGCTCGCTTGGCTCGAGGAGAAGGCGGACAAATGGGCCGAGCTCCAAGTCATTGTACACGAGCAAGCCGAGCAAATTGTGAAATTGATGGCTGACAGAGATGCCCTCCGCGAACAATTGCAATTAGTTCAAGGAATAGCCGACGAAGCACTTGAGAAATGTGCTACCTTAGCGCGCGTTGTGGGCAGAGACGCACTGGGTGTTGGTGCGGCAAAGATAAAGCCGCCCAAACCTCGCGACTACAGTGGCGCTAGAGATGCGAAAGAAGTTGATAACTTCCTCTTCGACATGGAGCAGTACTTCCGAATATGTCAACTAAGTGACGATCAGAAGGTGGATACTGCCATCATGTACTTGTCCGAAGATGCTAAGCTGTGGTGGCGCACCAAGCACGCAGACATCGAAGCAGGAAGGATCAAGATTGATACATGGGCGGAGTTCAAAGAGGAACTCAAAGAACAATTTTACCCCGTCAACACAGCGTTTGTTGCACGGATGAAGTTGCAAGAGTGCCGCCAGAAGGGTTCTCTTCGCAACTATGTTAAGGAATACTCGGCGATAATGTTGGACATCACAGACATGAATGAGAAAGATCGTGTGTTCAACTTTGTCAACGGGCTAAAGGAATGGGCACAGCGAGAGATTTTGAGGCAGAATATTGATACCCTCGCTACTGCTATGTGTGCTGCTGAGAGATTGATGGACTACTCAGTCGGGAAGGGTCGTCAATCCGAGAAGGATTCAAGTGGGACGTCAACACGCTCTAACAGTCCGTCTCCAAGCTCTCCAAAGGGTACAGAGAACGGCTCACGAGTATCGTCCAACACCATTAATACATATCATAGAAGAAGTGGAGGAGGTGATGCCCAGAGACAAACATCTACCCCCTCCCACAACTCAGGAAACTCGAGGGCCGGCGCATCCTCGGCAAACACAAGGGCAATAAACTGCATACTTTGTCGAGGTCCACACAAATGGTGGGATTGCGAGCATAAAGAAGAACTTGACAAGATCCAAAAGAGATTGTCATCCATGTCCGTTCAGGAGGCCACAAAAGAGACTAGCAGCGATGAGGAGCCCACATATAGGATGGGTTCCATACGACGCCTGAGTGCTATGAGAATGATAGCACCTCAAGAAGAACCAGAAGTCCAATATCTTTCGGCAATGCGAGTGATGGAGCCTGAGAAGAAGGCAACATCGAAGAAACAAGCTCGCACCAGAAACTTAGAGAAGCGGGAGATGAAGCCCATGGAGTTGGCAACATCCCAGATACACACCCGCCAAAACCAAAATCAGTCACAAGGTTCGAAGCAAAGAGCGACGAGCCCAGAGACACCAAAGAGACACCAAAGAAGAACCTCCCAAGAGGGAGGAAAAACAGTGGTTGAGCAAACAACGCAGGGCGCGTGCAAGGGATTACAAAGAAAATGGTCACCCAAGAGGCACCAGCCACAACTTGAAGCTCTCCACCACGGTCTCAAGGAAGCAGCTCCCCAACAGATGATGGTGGAAGCAGCTGTCCCCCTTAATTAAACAGATTCCACTCCCAGGAGGAAATTTATAGATGAAGCTCTCAACAAGATGTTCGAGCCGAGCGACTCCAGAGACAAGCTCCTTGTCAACAAAGAAGATCCAGCTTAAGAGTCAGATAAGATTCCAGAAGATAGCCGCACCAACGGCGCATCCGAAACTTGAGATAGTTTAGGGTTTTCTAATTTTGATTGTAACTTTTGTAAGTCGACGAGGTCGTCGACAGCTTAAGTGGGGGAGGATGTTAGAATCCAACTCCTTTTGATGTATTAGATTCCATTTAAGTGCTTTCCTAGAGTTTAGGTTATGTTTTCTTAGCTTGAGGTCCCATTATTGTGTTACTGTCAGTTCAGTGTTCACTAGGGATTCTCCTTGTATGTCATTTAAAGCTCTTTAGAGGGCGAATGATTAATGAAATCTTAAAGCCTTCTACCAAGTGTTGCCTTGCTTTTATGCTTGTTTGTTGTTAGACCTTTATAGATATTGTGTCTTACTTGCATATTAGCTCCCCTCCAACCCAACTTGATGCGCTAAGGACTCGTGGTTCGGACCCGCTTGTGCCCGCTTTGAAGTATCGGCCGTCACAAGCCCCGACCACCCGCACTCCGTCGCCCAGATAGACGTGAGTGCTCCTGAGATTCTATTGCCCGCTTGTGTTGCTTTGTGCTCACAAGCCCCTCTTCCGCTCAAGGCTAGCGTTCTTGCCGCCAAAAGGCTAGAGCGCGCCGCACGTTTTGGGGTCCAAACTCCCGGACCGTGACACCAGGCTAATGGTTGACAAACAAACATCCCTCCCCACACCCAATAAAAAAACACAAAAAAGACATAAGCTTGATAAATTCAAATACGCAAAGACAGGGAAGGCCCATCTCAGACCAAATACACAGAGTATACTGTAGATTAGAAAGCAATTTGTCCACAAAGAAAATATCACATCACATCACAAGGACCATAACATGCCAACAAAGATATAGCAGAAACGTTAATAGCAGTTAATCAGCTATGAAATGTTGGTTTACCTGCATAGCACCAGCGCCAAGAACCAGCTGGCAGGTCCTTGTATTAAAAAACTTCAAAATTTCTACAACGCGGTGAACTATTTCTGATGAAAGTGACGGCAAACTATCATTCATATCAATATACTCTGACAGCATCTTCAGTAATATTAAGCCACTGGACGTCACAATATTGAAGCCAAGTCAGTAGATTATTTCAATTCGTAAATTAATAAATTTCAAAAGAAATACTGATTATAAATTGTAATTAACTTCCAAAAAAAAAAATGGGGCCAACAAAACCCTTTTTTCAGCTCTGGGTTGTGACATAACTCACATAAGATAATTCAAGGATAAAAGAAGTTGGATGATGGAAGGACCAAGGATCATCAAAATTATACACATAAAAGAAAGGGAGGCTCCAATTTTGTACTACATATATCAAGATCAGGCCAAAGAGAACTCCACAACCAATTGAGCAAAGCCTGTCAAAAGGCTAAAACCACTACCCTCTCCCTCAAAGTGATATTTCTAGACACATGATCCAATAAGATCCTATAGTATCTCTACCAACAAAATAGCAAAGAAAAAATGATCTCCGCAAATGATTAAGCTGCTAGCACCTGCCAGAACTAACATTACACTCACACTTTCAGACAAAAACATGTGCTCAAACAGATTAGCCGAACTACCACAACCTGATCTCAATTATCAACAGCACTAAATAACTTGCTACAAAGAAGCAGCTTTTGAAGATTCCAAGAGCAGGAAAACTCCTGTTATTTCACTTGCAAAACACAATACACATTATGCATGGATGAAGCAATGAAGTTATCTTAGGTCTCCAAACGTACACTGGATGACTACATATTTCTGAGCTCGACATAGATGCTATTTCAGTCCACAAAATAGTTTGGGTCTATAAGATATTGGGAGGACAATATTTTTATCAATAGAGAAAGAGCTCAGCATTTTACTCATTTTTGTCGGGTTTTCACTTAATGGCTGGCCTTAGAAATAGGAAGTTGGAGCGTATTATTCTCAATTACATTTCAAGATGGATCCCCCTTATATGTAAGTTCCAAGAAGCACCCAACTTTTCTAGCCTCCACCCGCAACCCACCCTATGGAATGTGAAAATGGGTACACGAATAGAAAAGAATTTAGAATGGTCACGCTTCTAAAATGATAATAGGGAGCTCTACTGGTCAAAATCCTTCCCAAAAAGATACATTGTCTCTTTTTCTACATCATCTTCACCAAGGATAAAACAATAGCAAAGGCACCCATCAGATAAACTTCTACCGGCAATTAAACTCTAAGAAAACCTATTTTTAACATGTCTGGTCTTTCATCACTTTTCACGTCAAGATTCGTTGCTAAAAACAAATCACGTCCACAATGCTGAAGTGGCTATATGAAAATTTAAAACCAGAACTGACACAGCAAAACTCACTATAGACTTATACTTCCTCCGTTTTCTTTTAAATGCAACACACCTTCTCGCCTCGACACGCATTTTAAGGAAGAGATTAAACAATGTAAACGGACAAATTAATCAAAAAAATTATACACGTAGTACCTAATTCTTCTCTAATCATAGTGTTCAAATTATTTTGTTAAATACGCTCATTTACCTACTCTAATCAACTCCTAAAAAAGCGTGTCAAAAAAGGAGTGTTCCATTTAAAAGAAAACAGAGGAAGTATATACTTATTACTATATTAATGACATCAAGCATATTGATGATTTGATACTATAGAATGATGCCTTCACACTTATATATTGCTACAAATATTTATTAACTATTATTTAAGTACCAAATAACAACATAAGGTTCACGTTAAAAAAAAAAAAAAAAAAAAAAAAAAAAAGAATATTTTTCAATTGAAATAGGAAAAATATGTTCAAAACCAGCCATGATGATATGTGGAACCTTATAATTTATCTTTTCATGCCACAGTAGACACTGAGCACAACGTAATACCCACGGGATTTTAAACTTCTTAAAATCATCAGCAAATTGCCAATATAACACAACCTCAAAAGCCATTAATAAATCCCGTCTCTTAAATCCTAGACAGCATCCTACTCAAAACACGGACAGCCATAAACCTAGACAAGATTACATGAAGTGGAAAGGCCACCTCTAAACCACCTCCTCCATTTTAGATCAAAACCCTTCTCGAACACTTCACTAAAAACAGTCTAGTATAGCGAAGCACAAGCCTTCTTAAAGTTCAACTAATAGGTGACAAAAGAACAACTTACTCTATACTCTCCCCAAGACAGTCAACCATCATTGGTGTCAGAAACATAATAGTACAGTAAATTACTACATATGCCAGTAAGAAATTCATGAGATATATAACAGCTGAAATGGCAATGTAGAATAACTAACCAGTTAACCATGTGATATCCAACGCCCCTGTACATTAATGTTTGAGAAGTTGATTTCCCACGGTCCTTTGTATTGCTAATTTTGCTGAGGGCTGAAGTACCAGCATCAGCTTTACTTGCATCATTGGCCTCGCCTAAATGCTGAGATTTCTCTTGAATGGACGCATCATCGGAAACATTGTTCGAATCAGTTCGCTCTATATGATGCTCAGCATTGGATTCGTCAACCACAGTTGACACACCATTGCTTGAAACTATTGAACTGCCCTGATCGTCACCAAAGTTCTCAGTAATTAAAGAATCTGAACCATGCATCGAAGCAACAATGGCCTGAAACTCATCAGGAACGTCAACTTCTGACCATGTTTCTTGATCCAACACCGCCTTAATTTTTGACACCTGCCTCAGCCAGTAGAAAGGTGGTTCATGATAAATATGATATTTTATTTATGAATCGTATCAAATAAAAGGGCCAAGGAAAACTTACACGAGACTCATGCTGAAAATCAACAAAGGCTTTTGCTTGTGACTGCAATGTACCCCGTATACTATATCCCAACCTTCCACCAATCTGTTCATATAACCAAGATATGGGCTCAAAATGAGAGCATGAACACATTTCTGTAACTTAAGAATAGGACAGCTATACAATACAAGCAAAACTTCACCATACCTTTTCTGTAGCATTTATAAAATCTTGGGTGATGCTGTATATACTAAGAAATTCCGGCAAACGCAACTTGGGATGAAGAAGAGCACGAACACCTAGGAGTTTCGCCCACCTTCCATGGGCAGCATCACAAGCTGCAAAGACAGCTTCAGCATTTTCTCGCAACACATCAGCTCTGTCCAAAACTAGGGTTTAATCACTACACCTTTTGAAACAGAGACATGCTATCACAAATCATCTTTATGCCCAAACACTGTAAAATGTAAGCCAAGCTCAACCACTACTAAGACAAAGCTAGTCCAAAAGAAACAGATTGTAGTGATGATTACCAAAAAGAGTACTTTTTCTTTCTATTTAATTAGTGGAAGGTTTGCAAGAGTGTTGACAAAGTTTGGGAAACTCCAGAAGAACATGATCTTGTCCCTAAGCAATTAAAGACAATCAAAAAGACTGTTCCCTAGAGACATGCACTTTTTCATCCTGAACTAACATGGCACGAAAATCTGCTCCTTAGAACAGTCAACAAAAACATTAACAATAATGATAACAAAAAAATAACAGTAACAACAATGGGTAAATAGACTATCGTAAAGTGAAACAATATAATACAGCTAAAAGGATAACAAGTGGCAGGCACTTCAAGACATTGGCAAGCTCACAGTGAATTATAACAAAAAAAAAGGAAAAAATATAGCATAAGTAGTAATAAGAAAATTACTATTAAGAACTATGTCACCCACAACCACCACCAAGAAACTGCTAAGTGCACACACGTCCTGAATGATCACAACAAGCAAAATGATAGGATATGGAAAGGGGACAATCCCTTTATACTAAAAAAAACATAAGCTAAGGAGAAAAAAATACTACCTTCGTTTCATATTATTTGCAACGATTAGACATTTGCTACTCACACTTTGTGTCAAATCGTTGCAAATAATATGAAACAGAGGTAGGATACTCTTACAAAAGGTCAACTACAATTCAACAGCAAAATCATCTTCCAAGGATCGTGTTCTCATATGCCCAGAGGGGACCATAAATTTCCTGATAGCCCCCTAGAATAATATTCTCACGTCTCATTCTTGGAAAATTGAAATTTCATCTTTCATTATGAATTAATCATTCATGACTCGCCTCCCTCAATTTTCCTTCAGTTAAAGCATCCTCATTTCCACCACAATTGAATTGCACACTTGCTAATAAGGCCAACAATTTGCACAACTGAGAAAGTTAATCTCATATCTACTCAAAATAATATTCCTTGAGTTGGGATTTTATTTTCACACTCAAGTGCTCTTATATTTCAGCCTTGATACAATGCAACATTTCCCTCCACTCCTATATTATCTTGAATTACGGAGCCAAAGATATATGAAACAATCTTTCTTTGACATAACTTACGTCCCAATTCTCTTTCTATACCCCATATCCCATAACTTTGTGCCAGTCCTACCTAACTGAAACTTTTCGCTGCAAAGTATCACCCCAGAATTAGAACTTGTCTTGGGCCCTTTCACTCATATATTGCCCAATAGAACAATGTCAGCTGCAAACTACATAAGTATTTCCCCTTGACTTTCATACCAGAGTTACCAAACCACTTTATAGAAAGCAAAAACTATCCCCTAGAATGTGTGAGAATATATTTGGAAAACAGGCATTAACAAGAAGATAATGATTGTTATATGTATGTAAAACTGAAATTAATGAACAGAATTACTTCATTATTCAACACCTGTAACTGTGGTCGATATACACCATGCCTAAATTCAAGATAAGAAACAATGCATCTAAAAATAAAGGTGAAGAAGCTGACCTGAAATTTTTGGATACATTAGATGTACTTGTCAGTTCAGTAGCCTTCCCTTGTAATGAAGGAGCCTTGGTAGCATTTCTTTGAGAAGAATATGCAATTGTGTGATTGACTTGATTTTGATTATCACTATCATCTTGCGCAGCTTCTGAAGCTGCAGCACCATGTGCAATAGCAGCAGCAACTGACTCAGATGCATAGTGACCATCCAAATTAGACATGATCCACTCAATGGACTTTTTAACTTCAGCAGCCCGAACTAGATGTGCCTATATTTACTAAGCAGAATAAGTCACGTCATACTTAAAAGAGAAAACAAGCAAACTAAATTATACAGCCATGTAAACATTCATAGAGGTGGTTGAGATGTTGAGGTAACCAGTGCACTCGTAAATGGCTGAGCTAGCTCACTTGGAAGTTGCTAATTTCTGTTCAATAAAAGACTTAAACTCACTCAAGTCTGCAAGCAGGTCAATTACCCCTTGATTATAAGCATGTTTGTTAACAAATACAATACTGGTCAAAGCTCAGCATTTTCCCAATTTATATACTCCATATATAACACAGGTAATACAAACCATATGCATAATTTACTTTTCAGGTAAAAACTTATGGAGAGACATTACTTGTTTCTAATCTGGATGGTGACTAGCTGACTACTCAGTGTGTATAACTTACCTATTCTCTTGGTAGATGCCTAATTTAATACAGTGAAGTGTTATACACACAAGTTAAGGGTTAAGATAAATAAAGAGAGAAATGCATTTGTACCCAAGGTATATTACCCTAGGGCCCCATACACCCCTCCCCAACCCCCCCCCCCAACACACACACACCATCAAAGCAGTCCACCTCATTCTCAGGTCAATGTTGGAGGCTTACAAAGCATGAAAGGTCAAGCTTCAAAAAAAAAAAAATTCCCACCTTTTTACTCTTAAGTGTGGTAATTTTAAGGTTGTTCCTTCTTGAATAGGAACTGATCACTACTCACTAACATTTACCTTTTGAAGAGAGAAGGCAACAAAAAAGGAGGAAGGGAAGAAAAGAGAGGGAATTAGGAGGGAGGGGGGAGGGGGGGGGGGGCAGAGCAGAGCAGCAGGATAGGGGAAGGACAGGACTAATAGTACGATCACGTGCCATGTGGGACCCCTTTGTCAGGTAATTACATCTTGAAGGGGCAAAGAACGCTCAGATAATGGTAATATCTCATATCTGTATCCGATGGAAGTAGATACTATTCTTAATACCTCAGAACCATCAGCCATGCAAAATTTGTATTAATAAGCTCATACCAAATTAGTTTCTGGTCGCTCCTTTCCATATAGCAATAAGGAATGTAGAAAGAAGAAAATCAAGGAGGTCTCACCCATGTCCTAGAGAAGGCCAAAGGAGGGGGGGACAAAAACAAAACAATCCACCAGAAGCATCAAGTGTAGATAACACAAAACACACATTTAACAAAGCCCCCAAGCTAAAGTATTACTCATGACCTAATCTTAAAAATCAAGAAATTACAAACAATATTCAAATGAAGCACTTGTAACAGCACATGTGTCCAAAAAGATAAAAGTTAAGCCTTCCTAAGAACAAGATAAGCTCTCTAATATCCTCTACTCCTCTCTTTTCCTGTCAAGCTGTCAACAAACAAATAGCTCAGCACCAATTTCTACATTTCACTCCACTTAGTCTTTAGCCCTTCTTTTCTTTGCAGCTTTACCTCTTTCATTGGGTCCAATAGAACCTAGAAGACCCAGATATATAAACACTCAGCTGCCTTGTGAAGAATACCGTAAAAAAGTAGAAAATCCTTTTGAGTTTCTACTTAAGAAATGAATAGTGCACCAAGCTTGAACAAGAGCATTTACTATCATAAGTATGCATAATGTAATCATAGGTCCTTGGATCCTTGTATCTATGAGGTACTCCCTCAGTTAGTTCTTTTCCTGATTTGCAAAGATAACTACTGATATGGCTGTCCTCTCCTCAAAAAAATGAAGAAGAAAGGGAAAAGGTTTTAGTTTTAAAATAAGTTGCTTTGACACTGTTCTATCACTAACCATTCTCTATAATTCATAGTCATGACAAGGGTTAGTCTTACAATTTCGAACAATTTGTCAAACAATAAGTTCAAATCATTCCTCATTGTGCCCAAAATTCAACTTCAGCAATGAAATTGAAATTAAACTAGTGCTATGTGAGATCTAGTTGTATTGGGATCAAGCACCAGACTGAATTGCATGATGTGCGTTTTCAGAAATTTTTTGCCACATTTACAAAGAGTACATCTTCCCAATATTACTTATAAGCTAGCTCTAAGCCTCTAACCATCTTAACACAAACTTTTCAAAAAAATAAATTACAACATACATGATCTACTGATGAGTATTGCTTGAGCATACATTACCAGGACAATCTTGAAAACAGCAGCTAATAGCTCAACAAAGCTTTCAGATGACAGGCTCCTTAACCTGCTCGCAAGAGACGAGCCTCCACCTAAATCATACACCGAGTGCGAAAAGGTTATTTTCCCTTAATTCGATCCAAGTGAGTAACTTACAGAAATGACAGAAAGACAGAATGTTTCTCAAGTGATTTTAGGATAAAGGGGTGGAGCTTGGAGAGTATCTCACCATCTGCATCACCAGTCTTCTCTCCAGTCGAGAAATCTGACTCTTGAGACCGAGCAATCAGAACTGGTAGCAGCTCTGCCACAGCATTCTTGATAGCTGTCTTCATATCAGCAGTAAGTGTATCACGATACATTCTCAGGACAGATGGTAGTTTTGCCTGTCAAGTGACACATAGACCCATATGACATATTAGTCCAGTTCAGCATATGAAAAAACCCATTCACATAACTAAGCATTAAAGCACCAAGCCACCGGAGTCTTAAATATATCTTTTTCAAACAACTCTGAGTACTGCACAAGTAGCCAAAATTTTTAAAAGCTTAGGTTTCCCCTTGCACAGGCAGTCTGCAATAAGCAGAAAACATGCCCAACATTTCTTGTCGTCATTTTAAAAACAGATCAATCTACTTTCAATCTATTTTTCATATTTGACTAGGTAGGAAACGAAAGATAGAAGATTAAACTTTATTCAGGAGCAATAAAAATCTCATTTGCAAGTCATCAATTTAACACAGGTCAATCAACTTTCCATTCTTCTTTTTTCTAGTTGATTTTGTAGCAAAAGAGAGACAAAAGATGAAGAACTTCATTCGGAAACAATAAGGATCTCTCATAACATAAAAATGTCAGAATATTCGAAAATCATCATGCAATGTAAGTGTAAAACTATACATAGTGGGAAACAGAATCGACATTATTATATTACATTATTTCAATTGGTAACACAGGATACAATACACAACGACCACCACCATAATCTATTATCTTTAAGTTAAAGAATCGTAAATCTTCAGCTCCATTATAAAGGAAAAATTGAACACAAATAGAACACACCACAAATTAATGTAAAGTGAAAATATTCTCTTGATAATGCAAAACAAAATAACTAAGTAAGATGTTATCTACTATTGATAAGGAAATTAACGATGACTTTCAAACTTAGCATCCTAGCTTAAGCAATGTAAAATTGTAATTACCAACACAATTTTACATTGCTCTAAAGGCCTACAAATTTATTAAAAATAAACAATAGAGCTAGGCAGCATACAATAAAAAAATCAACTTTAGGAGGAGTAAAATGCTTCTAACCGTTCTAAGCAGTCCAATCACAATAGGTAAAACAAGATCTCGGAAATTAGAAGTTTCTTCTTCATCTAGCTTAACCTGCAAAGAGGGAGACTTGAATCAGGTTTACAGCTACAAGCTAGTCAACCATGAAAACCCTATACCACTAACCCTCATATCAATTTTAAGGACCAGCAGCAATTGAAGTAAAAATGAGGACAAGTATATAGATAGAATTACCAAAAGTTGATAAGGATAGCCACAAATAGTTATTGGCAGGGTCTAGGATATCAACATGACCATATGTATGCAACCTTACCCCAAACTAGTCAAGGCTAGCAAAGAGTTGGTCCAAAAGCCATAAGGCTTCCACAAATCTAAATCCCTCAAAATTAACAATAAGATCTAGGAGGGTAGAATGTCCAGAAGACCAATGTCATACTCACATCATCAAGCCTTCCATTACTGGGTATAGAAGCTCTTTCTTTTGCTGCCGATACAATTATAGCATCCAAATCCCCGGCATCATGCAAAGATGCGCGCATGAATTCTGCTGAAAGAATGCTACAAGAATGAATTCAATGAGTTAAAAATATACCACAGCTAGCAGCCATGACATAATCATCAATTGGAAGAATTATACATAATCCAACTTTAAATTGCATAGCTTATTGCAAATATAAAGGCTTAGCAAAGATAGTATATAGGATCCTATCCCATAATAGTTCAAGAACATCAAGCTAAATTGTCAATCCATCATAATTTTCAAAAGTTAACAGCAGAAATGATTCTCTCCATTCAACATGACCAACAAAGGCTTGAATCCACTTGAAAATGTACTTAGAACATAAAACATTTATAAGAAACCTAAGCACCATTAAATGAAGCTTAGTTTCCAAGATTTATACTGGTATCATGTTGAGTAGACCAACCTGTATATGGAGTCCATTGATGCAGCAACATGGTCCCGCAGATGACGAAAGCAATGCAAACCTGTCAACTCATCCCCATCCTAGCAACAAAGATATATGATCAGAAACCAAAAACTTACACAAGTTGACCTTCACACTCCACTTTGTTTGCTAATTAGAAGATAATACATAGAAGTTTCACAGCAACCAAAACATTCAAAAGTGGAGCAAGAAGCAAACAGATTTGCAAATGCCACCCTCCAGCAGAAAAGAGGACTGTAAGGGACTAGAAGTCTAACCTCCTACCCATATCATTTTCTTTAACGTTTATATGTTAAAAAAAAGTCTCAATCCTTTTACCGTGTCAAGATCAGTATTTGAGCAGATTTTAATATTATATGCAAGAACTTAGGGTTTAGGTTGGCCCAGATATCTAGTCTGATACATTCAATCAACTACCCGATGTACCACCATTATGTATGATTGTTAAAAGTACAACCTCGGAAAAAAGGCAAAACTGGGAAAAAATTCAGATAGTGTACATGAACAAGGGCAGATTAACCAGCACAAAAATAAAACTGATGAATTTGTTTATACCAATAATTGCCGCAAATCATCAGCAACATCCAATGCTCCAGCACAATCGGCAGATGCAACAAGCTGAACAAACATATAACATATGGTTATTTACAGAGGCAAAAGAATGCAGATGTACTGAAGTTGGGTATTGAGCAAAAAATCCTGCACCAACAATATCAATCATAACAGTGTTTTGTACAAACTAATTAGGGACAGTATTTAAGGCCACAAACCCGGGTATCAAAAAAAAAAATATTAAGTGGACATAAAGAACTCTGTTAATTTTGACCAGTAATACAATAACGCCAGCCATATTGTCGTACTCCCACAACCTCAACAAGGAACTCCCATCCAACAGAACAGTGGGACTGATGTATAATGCAAAAAGTGTTTCTCTGGATATGATGAAGATCGGAAACAGTTCTTAATACCTAAATTTGGGTCACAACTTATAAATGTTGTTGTATCAGAGCTATTAGACATTATGAATGCACAAAGCACCCCCAACTACCCGCCCTGCTTTTACCTTAAGCACATCTAAAGAACAGATGCTTATCAAAGAAACAGCTAATAAAAAGGTTGAACACTTAGCTAGTGAAATACATATCAGATCATTTTTTTTTTACAGGTTCCTTTGTTCCTCAGTCAAATTTACTTAGAACTTAATGATATCTAAGCTTGAGTACACTTCCTTACAAATAACATAGCTTGAGGGCATCTTTTTGCCTTTGTCCGCCCCACCCGCAATTCACAGCTAAATTCTTACTGAGTTGTTTTTTTTGTCCAACTTCCACTCAACCGAATGGTTATGATGAGCAAAAGCATGTCATTGAAGGTGGGGATGGATGTGGCGTAACCCTTCTTATCTATATGGATTGACCTTTGGTGTATATATAGATAATTTTTTTTATTAACTATCACCTGGCACCCTCTCCCCAAAATAAGAAATGGAGATAACTTGTTACTTAGACCCTTCATTTACCCTACATACTCATGTCTAATCCTTGACACTCCGGCATGGGTATGGAGGCTCCAAAACATTAGGAATAAAAAAGAAAAATATAGCCTTAGACACATAGCTATGTCCAAAACCTTGCTGAAAGCACGATAACAACCACCCAGACGAACTCAAAGGAGTAATAACTATATTTCAACCAAAGAAAGTCAAAAAAGAAAATTTAAAATATAGCTTTTTAGCACCCAAGCAAAGTTTACTTCTATCCAAGCAGAGTTAGTGTGCACTAATTGTCAGATGTAGCAATGTGGGTCATACCCCATGTCCAGAAGCAACACTGCAAGAGTAGACCACTCATAAATTCCGAGATCCACAAAAAACCAACTAGAATGTCAAATGGCCAACTATAGGTTGTTACTAAAGTTGCAAAAGGCTACTGTATCCCTATAAAGTTCAACCACAGCTGAGGCTGATATTGATTGTAACCTCCATATTTTCAGCAATACAATCTGTATTGTCCTACAATCACTACACACTGTGAAAATCCCACAATTATAGTCACAAGATAATAACATCACCCTAGAAATATTTCACCAAAGCTATGCGTACAGCAGCATTGTAATTTGCATACATTGCAAAAACGATTAGGTAAGCTGAGTTCACTACTCAAGATCATTCTAAGAATGTATAAAATTTCAAATTCTACACATTGCAGCTCATAAAACAGAGAAAATTGTGCCCCCTTATCAAATTTCAAGCGAAACCAATCAAATGTTAAAATAAGCGAATACAACATAAACAATAACATGTAGCTATACAAATCAGCAAAGAAGTTACCAGTTTAAGAGCACCAAGAGCTTGATCAACATATAATATAAGCCTCAGTTTCTGCTGAAGCTCTAACAAGTTGCCCCTCATTGAACTAAACTCTTGAATCTCCCTCGCCGACCCAACAACATCAGCATCTAGCAACCTGATGGTCTCCTTCAATTCCCTAATCCTTTTACACCCTTCCACAATCTTCACATTCAAATCCCCCAGCTGCTGCTGAGCCTCAAAGAACGAATTCGACCGCAACGAGATCTCCTTCACCAAATGCATCTCCACCACATCCAAATACTGAGACAACCTTTCCTGCAGCACCAAATTCTCATTCATCGTCGAAAACGGGCAAGCAGCCCGAAAAGTCCCCCCATCCTCAAGCTCAAAATCCTCCTTAAAGTACAATGCAGGCACTTCTCTCAAACAAGCAACCAACAATTCTCCCTGCCCTCCAATATTCTCAACTATATCAACATTCTCCTTACTACTATGATTACGAATATCCTCGAATCGACCATAATGCTCCGAGATCGAATTCAAATACGGTTGAAAATCAGATTTATTAGCATCTAACCCAGGTTTTGAAGTATTAATTGGGGCAAATTCAGGCAAAATCACCGATGTCGGCGAAGACCACCATCCAAGCCAAGAAGAAGCATCACTAGAGTGAGGATTATTAAGAATTGAAGACAAATTATGCTCAAAAATCGCCTTACTTGAAAGAGAAGAATTCGAGCTTGTTCTTGAGATACAATTCTCTCTTGATGGTGAAGATGATGATGATGAAGTACTCGCTGTTGCTGATTCGAGAGTAAACCTTCCCGAAACAGAAGGTCGCGACTCCATTACCAATCAATCGATCGGAAAACTCAGCGTCTTCTACTGTGATTTCGATCAAATTGCATAAACCCTAGAAAATCGGCAGCATTGATTACGGAATTTAGAGGTGGTAGAACTGTGGATCTTTGCAATTAAATTGGGGAAATGGTGGAGATTGTTGTTGATTGAATTGAAGAAGTCTGAAGGTGGATGAAAATGGAGGGGAGAGAAAATGGTGGTGAGTGTGATTGAAAATGGTGTTTGAGTTTCTCTCTCCAAGTTGAAGGTATAACAATGGCGATTTAGATCTGAGAAGTAAAAGAGGGACTACTACTGGAAATCTGCTACAGCGAGATGTCCGAATTTTTACTTTGTTTTTTTTTTGGGTGTGGGGAATTCGAAATGACGATGAATGGACGATGCTCATGTGTAGAGGGGGGTTAACCCATCGTTATATTGTTCACTCGAGAGCATGATATTTATTAGAATGCGTAGGATAAAATTAATTGTTGTACGGAGTTAAAAAAAAAAAAAACACAAAGTAGTTGTGCATATAGATGCTAGATAAGTAGATAACGGTTGACTAGTACGGAGTAGAGTTGTCGTTAGTGGTAAACATGAACTCGTGGTAAGTGTCGAAATAGTTGTTTGGTGAATATGTTCAACACAAAAGTAGCTATTAAAATACTAAAATATGGAGTAAATTTTAATAAGGATAACTTACAAGGAAAATTTGTAGATAATAATGTAGTCAAGGTCGTGCCCTATATAATGTAGTCAAGGTCGTGCCCTATTCCCAATACACGGGACTTTTGGTTTCTTGTTCTATTTCACCCCCTGATGGAGGATTCTTTCACAATTTCACCTGGCATATCAATATGATGTTGTTTAAGCTTATATATCTACGTTTTAAAATTCAAAGATGTTCAAAATCTAAAAACTATTGCCACTCCATAATCCTTAACTTTTTTAGGAATCCTTTATCAACACCTCTTCATATGATTGCAAATCATCTACTCTTTTTTAGTGGATTGCTAAACATCGCCCGCAAATCTCCACATAAAGCCCACAAATCTATATTGAATTTACCTTATTGCCCTAAACCTAAAATAAAAAAATCTAACCCATACCCACACTCTAATCACCCGAAAATACGACAATGTTGAGGCGGCAAGGCAAGGACTTGGCGGCCACAGCGGCGGAGGGAAGGACGGCTCACGGTGGCAGGGTTTTTTTTAAAAAAAAAAATTTTAAAAAAAACCAGAAGAGGTGGGGCGCCTGGCCAGGACGCCCAGCCCCTGGTGGTGGCGTCTGCTCCGGCCGCCGGAACCAGGGGGCTGGCGTCTGACCTGGACGCCTAGCCACGGTTGTGGCGTTTTCCAGAGGCGCCACCGCCGTGGCTGGGCGTCCAGGTCAGACGCCAGCCCCCTGGTCCCGGCGGCCGGAGCAGACGCCACCACCAGGGGCTGGGCGTCCTGGCCAGGCGCCCTACCACTTTTTTTTTTTTTTTTTTTTTTTTGTCTAATATTTTTTTTTTTTGGAAAATCAGAATTCTTTTGTTAATGTTTAATATTTTTGTTTTATGTGTTAATGTTTTTATTTCTAATGTATATATTTTTTTTTAAATCAGAATTTTTTGTGTTAATGTTTAATTAAAAAAAACAAAAACTTTAAATAAAATTTAAAAAAAATTACAAAAAGTTTAAATAAAATTACAAAAAAAAAAGAAAAAAAAAATAAATAAAAAAATAACAAATTACAAAAAAAAAAAAAAAAAAAAAAAAAAAAATTACAAAAAGTAGTGGCGGCGTCTGGCCAGGACGCCACAGCCATGGCGGCGGCGTCTGGCCAGGACGCCACAGCCATGGTGGCGGCGTCTGGCCAGGACGCCACAGCCATGGTGGCGGCGTCCTGACCAGACGCCACCCCTACTTTTCGTAATTTTTCCCCCGGATTATCTCGCTTTCCGGCGACGATGACGGCTCTTCGGTGTCCCTCGGCGATCCACTCCAGCTCCACATTCTTCGTGAGAGTGAATTACGGTTTCGGTAAAAATTAGAAAAAGGGCAAAAGAGTCAAAGTAAAAATATTTGTGGGCTTTATGTGGATATTTGCGGGCGACGTTTAACAAATCCCTTGCCTACTTAATAGATAATTTTTATCCTTGCCTACTTAATAGATAATTTTTAATTTTTTTTTTTCAAAAACTCCAATCACTTGTTGTAGGTTCCTAACTCAATTTAACTTATTTCTCAACCAAACTAAATTACTAAGAGAAAAAAATTAAACTAAATTGGATTGAATTAAATTGAACTTAAGAAATGAAGACCCAAAGGCTAAAGGTGTTTGGCATGTGAGGATTGAATCGATAATGCTTGGGCTATACCATATACGAAGTATAAAATTAGTATGTACATTTTTATATCTATGATATGTATTCTCAATCAATTTCATCATCATAAATCAAACAACGGATATTTAATATTTTATTGAAGCCCAATGATAAATTCCCACACTTTAATCCCTAAACTTCTACTTGTATTACTATTACCAAAAAAGTAATTTTACAAGAAAACGACTGTAATTACAGATGAAACAACTTCTTTAGTAGCAAATTATTGTTCCTAACTAGAGCTGGCAAAAAGTCGTGTCGTGTCATGTTCGTGTTTGGTCTCGTGTTAATTTCGTGTTGCTCATAAAAATTATCAAAAACTATGTAAAATGTAAGATAATTGCATAATTTGACAACTTTATCTAAACGGGTCATGTTCGGGTTAATTTCGTGTCGTGTCGAATTCGTGTTTTCTCTCAATAACTTCGTGTTCGTATCGTGCTGATTTCGATCGTGTTATCGTGTCGTGTTAGAGATTGCAGCTCTAGTCCTAACTCGACTTCACTTTATCACTTGATACGTCCCTCATTTTATGCTTGTGGCTCTCCTAGTTGTCCACACTCCCTCCCACCATCATCATAGACTTTGCTTTGCTATCCACAATCTTTGTAAGATTAAAAGGTACACTTGTAATTTCTGATCCTTCAAACTCGAAAACATGGCATCCTCTCTAATGTCAGGCGCTTCCTCCTCTTGCTCTGCCGCCTTCTCCACCAGAACCCACCCTTCCTCTTCTAAATCATGCCTACCTCTTCATCTTCCTCAGGTTTGCTCCTTTTCTTTCTTGTTTAATTTCGCAATCTTTGATCATTTGATTCACAAGTTATTATAATTTCATGTAATTTTAACTGGGTATTCCTTGGTTTGTATAGAAAACCAATTTTCATGGACTTTCTTTGCAAGATGCAAAAAGGGTCATTTTCAGTTCACTTGTAGCTGAAAGAATGAACTATTCCACCACTGTTAAAAGAGGGCTTGAGATCAAAGCGAGAACTACTGGCGCTTCGAAGACAATCGAGGTCGAAGTTGATAAACCTTTAGGCCTCACTCTTGGTCAGAAACCTGGTGGTGGAGTTGTCATCACTGTTAGTAATACTTTTATCTCATTTAATTATTTGCCATTTTGATTAATTGTTCGGTTATGATATATGAAGCCCTAAGGACTAACTTAACGCATAACACATATTTAATAAAATTACGCGTCGTTTGGTGTTATTAATGCTTATCGTATTATGATGAGTCATCTTTTAATTGTTTGTTTTATAATTTTTTAATCCGGGTTTGAAATATTGGGTGTTTTAATGGAAACTATACAATTATATTGTTGATGTAGGCAGTAGATGGGGGAGGAAATGCTGCAAAAGCAGGGCTTAAATCAGGTGATCAGGTGATCTATACTAGCAGTTTTTTTGGTGATGAACTTTGGCCTGCTGATAAGCTTGGATTCACTAAAACTGCAATTCAGGCTAAGCCTGATTCTGTTTACTTTGTTGTCAGCAGGTATAATATAGTATGTACTCCTTGTTATATGCTCATTTTATCTGATGTTGTTTGTATTATGCGTTAAGCTAGAAATGTGCCATATTTGTGGATACATTATGAGTTTTTGTATCGTTGTTCAACTATGTTTTCTTCCTCGAACATCTTGTTTAGGCTTAGCATTTGATTGTTTTTAGCTGATTTTGGCCTCTCTATGGGAGTGAATAGACTGAATACAAAGCTTATGGTGGTAGGGCGGAAGCAACTAGATGTTTAACACAATGACACATATACCAGTATAAGTTACAGACTGAGAAATCGATAGGTAGCAGAAAGCTTAGATCTTTTTTAAGTTTTATTTTGATGAAAAGAAAGGAGCTAGATAAAAGCCAAAAAAGGCAGAATTACAAGATAGATTTATAGGAGGGATTTATTACATCTGAGACAAACCCAGGTTTGGGGATCTAAAATAGAAATTACATTGTTAAAAATGAATATGAATTCTGCAATTATTTTTTCAAAAAGGTCAGTGACTTGCCTTCACAATTGAGCTTTATCCAGTTTTTTGGTGGTGGATTCCAGGTAACTTGTATTGAAATCTTAAAACCTGGGAGGTAGATGAGACACTGATTTTTGAGAAATAGTATTCCTATGCCGGAGTTAGTTTTGGTGAGGGAAACCTCTGTTGACTTGTGAAAATCCTCAACAATATCTGAGCATCTGCCATATGCACCAGTTAATGAGATAAGGAAAGGGATTAGACTTGTTAGAAAGTTTTCAAAACACACTGAAAGCTTTCCTATGTTTTCTTATTCGACGTGTGTAGTACAGAGTAAGTTTTAATTACCATACCCAAATTATTCTTTTGTCTATTTCTTTCTTACACCCCACTTTATGGAGGAATAAATTGCGCTTGCTTAGAAGGAGCTCCTATAGAAGTAGAGAGAAATCAGATAATAGAGAGCTAGATGGAACTAAACAGTAAATATTATCTCTATATAATGTATTGGTATGCTCTTTTTTGCTCCTGATGTTCTGCATTTTAATGCAGAGGTGCTGATGTTGATGTGAAAAAACTTCCAAAACGTCCTGCTCCTCCACGTTTTGGGCGAAAACTAACTGAGGCACAAAAGGTAAGCATTCATGGAAGCTCTAACAATACTCATTTTATAGAATTTTTTAAGCACATTGTACTTGAATTACTTTTATTTATTGAGATGCCGCTAAACTTTTCAGGCCAAAGCGACTCACATATGCCTTGACTGTGGATTCATATACACATTATCAAAACCGTTTGAAGATCAGGCAAGCTTGTCAATCTGATTTTCGTTTCATTTAATTCAAGGCTGACCAGGTCTTTAATAACTTGGTCTGAACTCTGAACAACCATTTTGTTTTGCCTGTTTTGCAGCCCGATGATTATGCCTGTCCTCAGTGTAGAGCACCAAAGAAGAGGTTTGCACGCTATGACGTGAACACAGGTAAGGCAGTAGGTGGTGCTTTACCGCCTATTGGTGTCATCATAGGGCTAGTTGCTGGTCTTGGTGCAGTTGGAGCATTGTT